TGAAAAGAACGTCGTAGGAATTCTGCCTACAACGCGTGAAATAGGGAAAAAAGAAAAATCGTACTTTCGACGTTCCGACATTTTGTTACCGAAACGAACCGTTTCGGGAACCAGCGTAATCGAGTGGATCACCAGTGTATATGGAATCCAACGATTAAGTATTTCCAAGTAAGATTTTTTAGAAATGTGGCTGTTTGTGTAAAGTCAATAACTAACTATAACTATAACGTTTCAATGTCATATCTCCATTACATTGGGTCAAAGTTTGATGTCAAATTCATGATTTCATGAAATTTAACAAAAATGGCAGATCCCATGCTAAACAAATGGGGAATGGTGGCTTAGGGGCAACTCAAATTTTGGAATATCTATTCAGTAAAACATTTATTAAAAATACTTTCTAAGTAGAAAATTGAATGATTTTACATTTTACATGCTAAATGTCTCCCTAATGTTGTTAAAATTAGCGATACGGAGCGTGAAAGTAATTTTGACCACCTCACTGAAACACCTGTGTTATTTCAATAAGAGGATCATTAAAAATTATTGAATTTGAAACCATTAACTTTTGTAAAGCCTGGACAAATAAATCATATTTTTGTCGAGTGGACAATTTAGCAATTATCTCTTACAATTTCAATTTTGAGAGCAATCGGATGGATGGATCGTTCCTCATATGACTTATGGCAACCCAACCATTCCCCATTTGTTTAACATGGGATCTGCCATTTTTGTTAAATTTCATGAAATTCATCAATTCTCACGCCCGGTGATCGTACAAAATGGATGGAGGGGGGGATTAGGCGATTTCTGCAAGAAAACTCAACAAATTTGGAAGATTTATTTTTTCAAGAGAAAATTTACAACTGAATTGCCAAATGAATAGGCGCAGTGCATGGCAAAATATGTTAGGTCATCTAGTATTTTTTTTTGAACTGATGCCCTTCAAAGATATGAGATCTATTAAAAAAGGCGCATCATCACCAACGTGCAAAAGTCAATGTTTTTGCTATAAATCGGGCAACAATGGTCTACACGACCTGTAATAAATAGGGATAAGGGACATTATTATCACAATACTAATGACATTGCTCACTTTTTAAAGTTAGTTACCATGCGTTATACAAAAAATAATCGAAATAAATTAATATTGGATGGAGGGGGGGGAGTGGATGGAGGGGGGGATTTATATGTCTTTACGATGGAACAAATTCACAAGAACTTGTGTATTTGAAAAAAATAAACTCAGTACCCCAAACTGGAAACTGGATATTATATCTTTGGAATATGAAAAATGGGAAAATTTGGAGTCATAAGAATAAATTCAAGTAGCATGTCTTATCATGTCTTACATATACGTGATCCCCCCCCCCTCCATCCAATCCCCCCCTCCATCCAATATTAATTTATTTCGATTATTTTTTGTATAACGTATGGAAACTAACTTTAAAAAATGAGCAATGTCATTAGTATTGTGATAATAATGTCCCTTATATCTATTTATTACAGGTCGTGTAGACCACTGTTGCCCGATTTATAGCAAAAACATTGAGTTTTGCACGTTGATGATGATGCGCCTTTTTTAATAGATCTCATATCTTTGAAGGGTATCAATTCAAAAAAAATACTACATGAGCTAACATATTTTGCCATGCACTGCGCCTATTCATTTGGCAATTCAGTTGTAAATTTTCTCTTGAAAAAATAAATCTTCCAAATTTGTTGAGTTTTCTTGCAGAAATCGCCTAATCCCCCCCTCCATCCATTTTGTACGATCACCGGGCGTGATTCTGACATCAAATTTTGACCCAAGGTAATGGAGATAAAACATTGAAATGTTGCGGACTTTATAGGGAATAGAATCAAGATACAGATTTATTTTCTTTATTGGGATTTCTTTTGTTCCACGCTTAGAAAATAGTCGTTCAAACAAATATGGGAGTTAACATGTAAACCTATGAGGAAAACCACTGGTCCTTAACTTTTTTGAGGAGTATAGAAAAATTCATAGTGATTTTTGGGCATTTTGGCAATAAAGCCTTTGGTTTGTAATGGGAAGATTGTCTTTATCACTAGAATTTTTCTCCACGGGGTCTTTTGCACATTGATAAATTATAATACTAGAACATTTACTACTATACACACCAGCGGATCTAGACGGGGGCGTGGGAAACACCCCCCTCCTTTCCTAAAAAATGTCACGCCCCCCCCCCAACATAAAATCCTGGATCCGCCACTGATACATAGATTTGCAATGTCTAGGTTTTATTCAAGTAACTGACTCCACTGAGTGTGTATTCAAATGTTGTGCTTATAAAATGTAGACTCCTATACTACCTTTTGAATGGAAATAAACTCTTCCAAAAGTGATAGGGCCTTAGTGCACCCATGCCATCGCAAGGACCTTAGGTTGGCATGCCAAAATGTAGAATCTCTAAGACAAAACCGGCACCTGAGCATGTTTTGTAAAATGGCCATGAAATAGGCCTTGTGACAATTTGTAATTATACCTGTGAAATGGTTGAATGAAAGAACATTGACCACCAAGTTTCAGTTGTGTCAAATGAGATTTCACACCCATACTGAATGGTATTAAACTGTTAAACCCTTGAATACACTCAGATGTCGTGATTACAAAATTAAAGATCTAACAGTCGACATTTCTTCACTTCAAATTTTAAATTGCGAGTCTTGGTCTAATCAATACATAACTAAAAATTTCAAAACACACCTAACAAGAAGTGATCAAGATATTGGCTCAAATCTCTGATATGATTTTATAGCCAATTTATTGTCAGACAGTTAACAACATTTTCATTACTGACTGTTGGAAAATATCTAAATTGGACTCTGGGATCCAATCCTCCCTGCCTCCCACCTGCTACATCGTTAGAAAATAGGCATGACAACAATCTGAGATCACCTTAAATTCACACTCAAGAGATTACTATTCATCAAAGTCTTTTATAAAGAAATGCCAAGAAGACTGGTTATGAAGATGTTACTAGGTGGATGAACTTCTTTCAGTGGAAATTTTTATTTTCATCATTTTCACCAAGAGGGGGGTTTATTCGTATCCATATATTTTACCCATATGTTAATCCTAGGGACACTTACCGCCATCCTCAGAAATGTTGGGGACCACAACAATATGTCACCACTGGTGGAAAGATGAGCAAAACATATTGAAAATGTTGACATTCTTAGAAAGTAATGCTCAACTTGTCACAATATCAATTTATGCTTTTATTTTTTAAATAAAACATAAAATGTGGTTGCAAGTTATGCATAAAGAAGCTTTTATTTACAGCTTTTGATGTAATTTTAATCTATCATGAGGTACATTATGGCTAAATTACAATTTAAAAACAAAAAAAAATAATATCATATTTGTATACATAAAATACACACGGATATCTTAATACATCTTACAAAAATATATAAAATTGACAAAATTACCTCAGAACAACAGAAAATAGAGAGCACTAAAAACGTATAAGAAGAAAATGATACAATCAAATGTAGAAGTTGCATGAAATTTTCTGTTTTCTGTTCAAAAAGTGGATTCTTGCAGACAATTTTGCTCATCATAGATTTACAAATATCACAAACAAATAGCACATCACATAAGTAAACATTATATCCAATGTTGCTATGTAAAATGCACTGACCTAGTTCTTATGTAATGTCTATGTATTTTAAATAAGAAAATGGTAGAAATGCTTAATTTAAATTTATGTGATAATTCTCCTAATTTTCTTAAAGCTTTAATTTATTTAAAACCACCATTAAACAATTAATCAAGCCATCAATATAAATATTGAACAACAAAGTGAAGTATTCATCTCCTAACAAATGTAATTGAGACAGAGTAGTTTAGGCTTATTTTATAAAAAGTCTGTTAACTATCCTGTATACTTAATGTACATATTTACAATTAGAGCATATATGAAAACATAAAAATATAATTTCAAATACTCTTCATTAATAATTCAATGATTTCAGCAAAATACAGGAAATACTGAGCCTGAGAAAATCTTTATTTTACAGTGATGACATCATCCTTCCTGGGCACAATTTTTGTTGTACTTAAGATGAGAAAGCATTAAATAAATAACCTTTTTTATCCAATGATATTGGGGATTAATGTATATGATGTTAGAATGGTTTTTCAACAGAAACTATTTCATGCATGAAAAAAAAGTTATATAGGGCCAATCATATTGCTAGGAACTCTTTATAGACTATTATTATTGAGTGAGAATAAATAGCCAACATTAACATTCAATTTGAATTCATAATTGTATGGAGTCACTATTATCACTCTCCAAGTTTTCTGCAAGTTAAAATGATAAATTCTGCAAGTGAAATTAGTGAACTCTGCAAGGGGAAAGGCTAATTCTGCAGAAATTCCACAAAAAATATTGAGATACCTATAGTAAAAAGGGAAAATATCGTGATATGCTCCAGACTGATAGTTATGGAGTCCGTCACAATGTCACTACTCAATACAGGCTGCCATCTAGCGACAGAAATCAAACGGTGAAGTATAAAATGTTCACTTTGATTGACCAAAATAGTTGATTCTGCAATTCCTCAGGCAAAGGCAAATTCTGTCCACACTCTACAAACAAAGAATCCTGGGGGCAGTGTATTATTGAACTTTTTCTAAACTATATAGAAACAAATACTTAAATTCAATAATTAAATTTAATGATGCTTCTATTGAGCTCTATTTTGTAAAAAATGGGTAGTCTTTTCACCTAAAAGTAGAAATCAAAATTTTGCCCCGAGTTGAGAAAAATTCTAGACATTGATAACTGAATTGTTCAGATGATTGACCACTAAGTGAGGATGTTCAAACATGCCTCTTTGTTTGGGCTGACTGACTTGGAGCGTCCCAAAATCTCAGCAGTCAAACATATTTTATTCCTATTTGTAAGATTACAGGAGTTTTTTGTTTGACACATGTTTTTGAAATTTTAGACAAAAAAAACTCGAGGCTTGCAAACAGCTAACTTTCAAAATATTAACCTGTACACTATGACAGGCCAAACACTGTCAGATAGTAATGGCCTATCACTGATAACTCTGATAATTAACATGTATTAGGCCTAACATTGCAGAACATTAATTTTGGTGTCTGGTGAGTATTAAATGATATATAGATTAGTAGATGCCTAAAAGCTACATTATGACTATATTTGGTCAATAATGATATGAATCATTTCACTTTGAGTCAGAGATCTTTGTGGCAGTGAACGTATCCTTACTCTGTGATCCTTAATAATCTAGCTGTTATTCCATCCTGGTGAATCAAAGTAGAATTTCAAGAATTTGAAGCTGTATATAATGCAGTAAACAGTCAGATGTTTATGTATTTTTCTTGGAAGATCTGGTAACTCTACTAGTGGTCGTCGTTGTGCTGCTACGTAATTGGTAGGTATGTGCAGGCGCTTCCTCACACTTTCTCCAGAACATAGGAGAGAAACTCAATGATGCAGGGCACACAGCGAGAAGTAGGTTTATCGTTAGGAGGCCAATTATAGAAACCAAGCGGATCAGGCTTGACACTTTTCCTCCCTGCAACACAACTTGGAAGTATGCCCAGTTGGCTACCAAAGCCACATTCATCTGAAAGATAACATTAAATATAAGTAAGGTAAAACCTTTCTATGGAAAAAGACAACAGTAAAAGCATGATTTTGAGTATGACAGGGGTTTCAGTAGAATTTCTCAGAACAGGCTAAATAAATGAAAACAACAGGCAAAATTAATGGAAATCATAAAATTTAACATGAAAAAGTTGAATAATCCCTTAAAACAACAGGCGATTTTGTGAAAACAACCAGTGAAAATCATCTGTTGTCTGTAACCCCTGCAATGTAGTGTTTGCAATATTTACCGTCTCTTAAATGTGGAAACCCTATAAATGATACTGACTGTAAATTACCAGTATGGAAATCCATAAAATTGGTACTATTATTAGGATTAGTTTGAACAATTGCCACTATTTGCTTGTTTCATTTCGTTTGTTCAATGATGGAGAGATGAACAAGTGGATGGTTCAATGATGGGTCATGTGAGGCAAATATATTTCAATATTAAACAAGGCATTAACATGACAAAATGTCACCACCTAGTTGCTCACAATTTATGAGTTCAAACTTAAGTCAGATTTGAATTTCTGAGAACTTGTAAAGTCAACTTTGAACTTCTGAAAAGATGTAGATGATTTTGAAAAAAAAAATGGGTCAATTTGAAGCAAGTTGAAAACAGACCTTTTTGACCTTTTTTGACCTTGAGAAGGTCATTAAAGGTCAAATGTCAAATCTAAAGTCAGATTTGAATTTCTGAGAACATGTAGATGATTTTGAAAAAAAAAATTAGTCAATTTGAAGCAAGTTGAAAAAAGACCTGTTTGACCTTTTTTGACCTTGAGAAGGTCATTGAAGGTCAAATGTCAAATCTAAAGTCATATTTGAATTTCTGAGAACATGGAGATGATTTTGAAAAAAAATTTAGTCAATTTGAAGCAAGATGAAAAAATACCTTTTTTTGACATTGAGAAGGTCATTGAAGGTCAAATGTCAAATCTAAAGTCAGATTTGAATTTCTGAGAACATGTAGATGATTTTGAAAAAAAAATTTAGTCAATTTGAAGCAAGTTGAAAAAAGACCTTTTTGACCTTTTTTGACTTTGAGAAGGTCATTTGAAGGTCAAATGTCAAATCTTAAGTCAAATCTAAAGTCAGATTTGAATTTCTGAGAACACGTAGATGATTTTGAAAAATTTTTTTAGTCAATTTGAAGCAAGTTGAAAACAGACCTTTTTGACCTTGAGAAGGTCATTAAAGGTCAAATGTCAAATCTAAAGTCAGATTTGAATTTCTGAGAACATGTAGATGATTTTGAAAAAAAATTAGTCAATTTGAAGCAAGTTGAAAAAAGACCTTTTTGACCTTTTTTGACCTTGAGAAGGTCATTGAAGGTCAAATGTCAAATCTAAAGTCATATTTGAATTTCTGAGAACATGTAGATAATTTTGAAAAAAAATTTAGTCAATTTGAAGCAAGATGAAAAAATACCTTTTTGACCTTTTTTGACATTGAGAAGGTCATTGAAGGTCAAATGTCAAATCTAAAGTCAGATTTGAATTTCTGAGAACATGTAGATGATTTTGAAAAAAAAATTTAGTCAATTTGAAGCAAGTTGAAAAAAGACCTTTTTTGACTTTGAGAAGGTCATTGAAGGTCAAATGTCAAATCTTAAGTCAAATCTAAAGTCAGATTTGAATTTCTGAGAACACGTAGATGATTTTGAAATTTTTTTTAGTCAATTTGAAGCAAGTTGAAAACAGACCTTTTTGACCTTTTTTGACCTTGAGAAGGTCATTGAAGGTCAAATGTCAAATCTTAAGTCAGATTTGAATTTCTGAGAACACGTAGATGATTTTGAAAAAAAAATTTAGTCAATTTGAAGCAAGTTGAAAACAGACCTTTTTGACCTTTTTTGACCTTGAGAAGGTCATTGAAGGTCAAATGTCAAATCTCAAGTCAGATTTGAATTTCTGAGAACATGTAGATGATTTTGAAAAATTTTTTTAGTCAATTTGAAGCAAGATGAAAAAAGACCTTTTTGACCTTTTTTGACTTTGAGAAGGTCATTGAAGGTGAAATGTCAAATCTTAAGTCAAATCTAAAGTCAGATTTGAATTTCTGAGAACACGTTGATGATTTTGAAATTTTTTTTTAGTCAATTTGAAGCAAGTTGAAAACAGACCTTTTTGACCTTTTTTGACCTTGAGAAGGTCATTGAAGGTCAAATGTCAAATCTTAAGTCAAATCTTAAGTCAGATTTGAATTTCTGAGAACACGTAGATGATTTTGAAAAAAAAAATTTAGTCAATTTGAAGCAAGTTGAAAACAGACCTTTTTGACCTTTTTTGACCTTGAGAAGGTCATTGAAGGTCAAATGTCAAATCTAAAGTCAGATTTGAAGGTCAAATGTCAAATCTAAAGTCAGATTTGAATTTCTGAGAACATGTAGATGATTTTGAAAAAAAATTTAGTCAATGTGAAGCAAGTTGAAAAAAGACCTTTTTGACCTTGAGAAGGTCATTGAAGGTCAAATGTCAAATCTAAAGTCAGATTTGAACTTCTGAGAACATGTAGATGATTTAGAAAAAAATTGAAGTCAGTCTAAACAGTATTTGTTAAGTTATAGGAAGTTGTAAGAAATTGTTACAGACGCCGGACGCCAACCGCCGAACGCCAACCGCCGGACGCCAACCACCAACCGCCGGACACCAACCACCGTCGCAAAAAAACGGAGACCATAACAATATGTCACCACTTTTGGTGGTGACATAATAATATACCAAAACTCACAAAGATTCGGAAGAAGACAACACTTTTCTTATCATCCACACTGGCAAAACCTGGAGCTCGTTGAGTAATGAATGCCAGACCAATTTTAAATGCTGCGGCAATCTGTGCAAGGTAAATGTGCTGGTCATCTGGTTTCACTCCAAACTTAAATAGAAAAGAACTAAATATAATATAATCATGGCAGTATGGATACATATATCTTTAAGTTTTCATCAAACTTATTCTGTTTATTACAAGAAAAATAGCAGTCAATTTGAAGTGAGTGGCCATATTGGAGAATTGCCATATTGGTCACATTTCTATAAAACAGCTAGACTAAATTCAATGACCAGTGTTTGAGTCAATATCAAAAACTACATTTTTCCTGAAAAATGGTAGGCATTTTGAATTCAGTACCAATTTAGATAACTCCTTTTTGAACAGATATTTCATTTAATTTAGGCATCAGCTTATAACATTTGAACCAATTAGTCTTTGAGTTCAAATTACCATTTTAAAGACAAATGGCGACCATTTTAAATTGAGTAGTATCACCCTTGGTATACATAGCAAAAATATTGATCAGTCTGGTACAATAGTGTGACTGGTGTCAGTGATCTCCCAAGGAATTTTTCTCAGGTGGGTGCAAATTTTTTTGTAAAAATATTTTCGCTCACCAGAATTTCAATCTAACTAACAGATTTATGCCGCTCATTTCACTAATGATACTTATATTTGAACCAAATCCATTGACTGGTTTAAGTTTTTTTTATAAAAAAAAGGCAACCATTTTGAAATCAGCCGCAATCTTGAAAATTCTTTCTACTGTGTTCTTAGGCATAAGCATATAAAATTTGAACCAAATCCGTTTACATGGTATTTGAGTTATCAAAGACTACGTTTTTTGGGAAAAATGATGGCTATTTTGAAATTCAGATGCCATCTTGAAAATTATTTCTCAAACAGAGCTACAGTGTCCCTTGACTTCAGGATATAAAACTTGAACTAAATCAATTCTCGAAATCGTTGTTCCCTCTTCAAAAGAGAAGACGCGATAATCTTTCCTTATAAGGGCAAAATATTTCCCATGATGCAGTTCACGGAGGAACAAATTTATACTTCCTTATTTTCCCTCATAGGTTTAACATGGGGATTTTCACACCTATTTTTCAAACTATATATTCGTTCATATTCCCGTACGAGAGTACAGAAAAAATTATTAGAAACGATTGATCTCTCATTAATCTTAATATAACAGCTATTTTTTTCATTGTATTAATTCATAGCGTGGTGAAAACGATGATTGAAAAGTGAGAAAATATTCCGGAAGAGAAGGTCACGTGATCAGTAGACTAGTCGCCATATTGGAAAAAACAATTCCAATCGACTTTCAATACTTTCATGCCAATCTTACTGCACTACAAACTGCGAGATCAATGCAACAACTGAATAAAAGTATTCATCTTCAAATTACATTATAGAGTTACGTTGAAAACCCACAAACAACTGAGCAGTAGACCAAAGAAGATGCGTCGCTATTATCTAGGTAAATCTGTTCAGAAGTCTGAAAGCAAATCTATAGTACTCGTTTCCAAATTTTGTTGTTCATTGTACAATCTTTTATTGATTAAACTCGGTACACTGACTATTAAAGCAATGACAAAGAAGAATACTTACGATGGTGTCATTGTTTTATTTAGCGTGCGGGTGTAAAAACAAAATTGAGTAATTAGTTTGATTTAGAACTTTCGTGTCACGCAAATAGCTACGCGAAATGCATAGTGGGAAAATATTGACCAATCAAATTTTGTCCTTTTTGAGTGCTTTTTCAGTGCATATTTGCGAACGTTCTTATTCAAAGAGCGAACCGCGAAAAGGAGAATTCACTGTCTTTTTGGGTTATCAAATATTATGTTTTTTAATTGAAAAATGGCAGCCATTTTGAAATTGAGACGCTACAGTGTCCCTTGGCTTCAACATATAAAATTTTAACTAAATCCATGCACTGGTTTTTGGGTTATCAAGTATAACGTTATGTAATGAAAAAATTGAAGCCATTTTTAAATTCAGCTGTGACCCTAGGCATCAGCATATAAAATTTGCATGAAAACTCTTCACTGGTATTTCAGTTATCAAAGATTACGTTTTGCGAAAAATGGCGCCCATTTTGAAAATCAGCAGCCATCTTGAAAATCTCTTCTTGAATAAAAGCTCCTTGTCCCTATGCACCAGCATATAAAATTGGAACCTAATCTGTCCACTAGTAATTTAGTTATCAAAGATAACATTTTTTATGAAAAATGGCGGCCATTTTGAAATGAGTGGCCATATTGAAAATTCCTTCTCGAGCAGAGGTCCTACACCCATAAGGCATAAGCCTGTAAAATTTTAATCAAATCCGTCAATCTGTTATTGCCCGATCAGGCAGACGAACAGATGAACAGCTTTCCGGGATAATAATGTATGGTCAAACATTGAAACACTTACACTATTCGCCAATCTTGGAGTTGTAAATGCCAGAAGATTGAAAGCTGACATGTAGATTATAATCGCATCAAGTCGAAGATGAAAATGCAGCCTGATGCTTTTCTCCTCCTTACCACCAAAGTTGCCATTGCGGATAAGGTGATATGTTGCAGTCAGACCCAATACGATGTTCCCATACAGCATAGAGGAAAGGCTCTAAAAGACACAATTAATTCATTTTAAAGGCCCTACGTTATGTCTGAAAATATTTTTTAATTATTCAAATAACAGCTTTTATGATATAAAACAATTAAGAAAGAAACATTCAACTTACAGAATGATTTTGTGACACCTCTATAATTCAAAAAAATTTAATGTCAAAACTCGATGATTATGCACCATTCAAAAGTTTGTGTGAGACCTACCCTGGGGGCAATAAATCTGGTCAAATATTCTTGACCCCTGGGCCCTTTCCCCCCGAATTTACTCTTTTTAAACATTTAGTTGCTAGTAGGCTAGGGTGTTTCATTTTTCAAGAATGTTTTCAGATCATAACGGCCCTTTAACATGGGGTTACAAATAGTGCCAGTAGTTTACTGATTTTTTTTCAACAAAATCGGATAATGTTAAAACTGGTCCGTCGGCCATTCTTTCTGTCCCATTGGATTACATTGCGGGCGACGCCCACTTTTCAATGGAAAACATTATTTCGCACTTCTTTGCTTATCATTTGCCGGAAATGATTGGAAAATGTTTTCCTGTTATAAGCATTTGGATATACATCAAAACACTTTCAATTGATGCAAACTAGATTGTTCTAGCACTTTTTGTCGCTGAGATATTGCCAGTCTACTAACCTGTAGTCTACTGGGGGAGGGGGTCAAAAATAAAAATTGATTTTGGCCACTTTTATTCTTAAAACATGTTTTATTAGATTTTAAAGGAGATATTTTGTTATTTTATGATAAGAATTTTCTAAAATATTCAAACTGTTGACAGAAAAGAAAAACATTTGTGAATTGAACTGCCAAATATATGCATTTTTTATTTGTTTGACCCCTGGACCAGTAAATCTGCAATATCTTTGCGTTAAAAAGTGCTAGAACAGTCTAGTTTACATCAATTGAAAGTGTTTTGATGTATTCTCAAATGCTTATATCAGAAAAATTGGTTCTAACCATTTCTGGTAAATGAGCAGCAAAGAAGTGCGAAACATTGTTTTCCATTGAAAAATGGGCATCGCCCACAATGTAATTCAATGGGATGGAAAGAATGGCTGACGAACCAGTTTTAACATTATCTGATTTTGTTGAAAAAAAATCAGTGAACTACAGTGGCACCATTTGTAACCCGGTGTTAAGGTGGTATTCCAGTAAATAACTTTGCTGATAAACATATATTTTTTATGTGCTTATTTTGAAGTATATTCAATTCCTAACATTTTGGTACCAAAAAAGTATAGGGTCACCGTGGAAATTTTCGAGCTACACATCCGAGAAAAAATATGGTTTTACATGATTTTTCTGATTTGATGGATAGGGTTTTCACCATTTACATGTTATTTCAATGGGATTTTTTAATATTTGCTGACTCAACTTTGAACTACTAGGGCTGAAAATTTTACTGATAAACCTGTATTTATTTTTTGACATTTTGTTAATATGAATGCCTTCTTTCATATAAGCTAATAAAAAATATAGGTCACCGTGCGTTTTTTTACGTATTATGACATCATAATATATTGGTCAATTTTAAATTATTTCTCCATTTTTGTGCATTTATGATGTTATAGCAGCAGTTCATCCATCTTGAGTACTCCTGTTCATTACAAAATACTTATTTAGAATTGATACACCATATTAAACATATATATGTATATGTCCTCTATTTTTAAACCACGCATAGTGTTATAATTGAGTTCGATGTAAAGTTAAGGCATTAAACGTTTGCATAGCAACCACCTAGCAACGGGCAAAATACTCCAAAATGGCTCTCAACATCAACAATTGGCAAGATAAACATTGCTTTAGCAACATTATACTTATTAAAACCCAAAGTATAATGTGTTATCTTCTCTTTCATATAACCATATTTTGCATAGCAACTGCATAGCAACAGGTCAAAATTGACAAAATAGAAGCCCTTATACATCATGTCACTATTTTGGCTGCATATCTGGATATTTTGAGTGAAAAAATCTTAAAGACCCAAGTAAGATTGAAATATGCTGAAACCCAGATAAAACCCTAGGGGTAAGGTATAAGGGGTGAGGCTACATATAGCTGTTTTCTGCATAGCAACTGCATAGCAACAGGTCAAAATTGTCAAAATTACTAGAAGCCCCTTATACATCCTGCCACTATTTTGGCTGCAAATCAGGATATCTTGAAAATGAAAAAAAATATGTTTAAAATATGCCAAAAACCGAGATAAGACCCCAGGGGTGAGGTCCTGATGGGGCCCTAGTGATACCTTACTGTCTGTCAAAACCATTTTCCTCAAAGGACCCTAAAGTGCATGGCCAGGTACTGCACTACAGAGTTTCATTAATAGCTCACTGATTTCTAAAAAGGATCACCAGGGTCTCAATAGGTCCTCATTAGTATAGTATATGGTCTATTTACATCCTTATTGGGGTCTCGTTAAGATACACATTTGGAAGAACCTTCTTTTTGTTGAAGATTATAAAATCACACTAAATCTGAGAAACCTCTGATTAAAAGTGAGAGATTTTATAGACACAGCATGGAATCAAAACATATTTAAAACCAGAATTCATATTGGGATACACTTTATAACTTCTTAATAGCCACACATTCAAAGGGACACACAGATCCTGGTCAGTGATCAATGATAGTCACAAACAAACATAGGTACTATAATTCTCTAAAAATTTCACAATAAGAAGAATGAATCAAGCTGATCCATTGAACTCCAACTTAGACATAAAAAAGGAATGGCATAAAATGGAGAATATCTATTAGGTCTATAGTTTTTTTTACTTTGAAATAATATACAAGTTCTTTTAAAATGTTAGAAGAGTATTTTTTATTCATCTACTTTTGAAATTATAAACATACAGAGTATAATGTTGAATTAACAAATGTCAAAAATGATCAAAATTCGCCAGATATTAAGAAGGCACCATATCAACCACATTTACATAACCGGTTGCTTGTAAACTAATGATTTTATAAGATAAATATTAGAACATTTACACAGCATAGCATTATAAAATATTGACAAAACTAGATTGCACCAAAAACTTAGCCCCAAAGAGATACAAAGAGGCAATATTAAATAAACAAATAAGAAATATAACTATTATGTGAATCTTTCCAGCAACTCTCTTCTTCACATATTAAATAGTATACATGTCCCGTATTAATAAATTATGATTACTGAGTTTTATGATAAATAATAATCGAGGGCCTTGACCCAAAGCTATTTGTTCTAAATCGCCCAAAATACAATTTTAGGAAAATTTGATTTTTGTGTTGACTATTTAGTTCAGCTTTAGTACACTGCATGTGACCGTTTATCATCGTTTGTGTACCACTGGTTGTTGAAGGTGCCATTACATTCACTGTGCCTTGTAAGCTCTCCTTATAAGGTACAAATACCAAGTTTTTTGAAGGTGCCATTACGTTCACTGTGTGCCTTGTAAGGTTCAAATACCAAGGTTATTGTATTTACTGTGACATTACCAATTGCAACCTGAAAATAGTAAATACAAAGATTTTATTTACTAGTATATTGTAAGTGCGTTTATGGTATTTTAAAATGTTAAGTAGAACTAAGAAATCAAACAGTAGATGATAACAATGATATACATGTATGTAGCTTTAGCCATTTTACAAAGTTTATTTGCAAAACATAGAATATTTTACCTTCTCAAACTAGGAATTGGCAAATCCAGTGAGATCAGATCCCAACACACTATATTCATGAATCTATACATGTATATCACAATGCTATATTTACCATTTACTATATATCCTTGAGTAAATTGGCAGATATAAAAGACATACATTAGAGATGTATCAGAATTTCCACCGATGCATTTGGGTGACTATATTAGGGGTTTCAAAGGCACAAATGCAATTATAAGGCAATACAATATTTGAGATAATATGTGTTGTATAATGTGGAATCAGAAAAACAATACATAATTGTGATCTACTCAAAAATTCCTTCAATTTGAGTATAATATAGCCATACATTGAAAAAATCATGAAATTATTGTGAAATCTCACATGAGGTGACCCTTTTTAATTTTCGAAATCTGAAAGAGAAAAAGTATAGAACATTTGCAATCTAGCTAAATTGCCTTCATAAAGCTATACATCAGAAAGATCTCAAAATTAATGAATTCCTCCCCCCTCCTTCCATGGCAGTTACTATTAATTAATTGAAATATTTCTCAATAATTACGCAGGATTGCATTTGCTAGAACAATTGCACACTATCCTGCTGTCATCAGGTCATGGCACTAATTTTGAAAGTAAGAATTTTCTAAATATCAATCCAATTTCAAGCTGAAAATTTTGATTTTTGAGACTACAAATACTGTAAATTCAAGTTTCAAGTTCATTATTCAATAATGGTAAGACATCCATTGTAACAAAAATTGGAATAATGCTCTCATTGATAATGATGCTTCCTACATCAAATGAAATTGCCCATGGGATTGACTGTATCGACTGATTTATATGTTATTTCCCTACAATGCCTTACCATTGTTGTTTATTCCTAGCTCCATTGCTATTCCGATATTTGCACTTGTGTAATAGTTCGATCAAACTGTCATATATTACTACATGAAGTATTCATGATTTTCATCAGAATCAGAAACTGTTTCTTCCCTCTAAACATCATGAAGTTGAGTGTAGTAGGCTAGGCTGTAGTGATTCTGTCATTGCATAGGTACAGTATGTTCATGTTCAATTCCTCCTGTAGATGGTCCACTGATCCTGAAATTATAGATAAAAATATAATGCCTGGATATTGTGGTTGATAAGTTCAATATCAACCAAACATTTTTGTCCAAATAAAAATACATTTGACTTTGATAGCTGGTGTAAAAGGGTAGGAGGTCCAATCAAATTGTGGTCCTACTCTCCATTGATTTATATGGTGACCTAAATACACCTCTTTCCCTCATTATCTTATACACAATCAGGGCCAGAAAGGGCCTTTAAAAAGGGGGACACTAATCCCTGGGGGACCATAATTTCATTCACACCAGTCAAATAAAGTCACCATTTCATATCAGATTTTCCGACTCTGCTAATTGCGTAGGAGACCTCTTGAGTTTGAAATAAATAAATGTTTTATTTTGATGATCGAAAAAAGAGACCCTATCTGTTGCAAGACTTATGCCTGGCACAACCTCACCATGTTATTAAGTGTTTTTAAGTTTCGCAAGGATCCTGCCATGACCATGGTAGTATTATCGTGATTGCCTGATATAACTGTGATAATGCTATATTATATTGCATGGCCTGTCATGACCGTGGTAATGTTAAGCCTGATATGACCGTGACAATGCTATACTATATTGCAAGGCCTGACATGACCGTGGTAATGATAAAGCCTGAAATGACCGTGACAATGGTTGCAAGGCCTTTCATGACCTTGGTTATGTTAAAGCCTGATATGATTGTGACAAAGGTTGTGAGGCCTGCCATGACTGTGGTAATGTTAAAGCACAACATGACCTTGACAAATGGTTATATCATTAATTGACATTTAGTAGCATCACACCCGAATAGCCTGACTACGGTAAAGTCAGATACCGTTGTCACAAATGGCGGACATAATTGTCGCTTCAACTGTTTAATCACTTGGTTCTCATTTCATGGGACTTAATCATCGCTAATTCTGTACATGCATTAAGCTCTTGTGATTAATGTATCATCTGAAATCCCATTTTTGATCAAATTTGGTTCCGAATCGCCACAATAAAGCGTCTTCGATATCGTCAATGACAAGTGAACGGAATTTGAATTTGAGTAATTTAGAAAGACAGAAAGGCATATGGTAATTACAATTACCACGGTCATGACAGGCCTTGCAATATAATATAGCATTGTCACGGTCATATCAGGCTTAACATTACCACGGTCATGACAGGCCTTGCAATATATTATAGCATTGTCACGGTCATATCAGGCTTAACATTACCACGGTCATGACAGGCCTTGCAATATAATATAGCATTGTCACGGTTATACAAGGCTTTCACGATAACAATACCACGGTCATGGCAGGATCCTTGCGAAACTTCAAAACACTTACTAACATGGTCACGGTCAATGGCGTAGCGTCATATACGCAAAAAACGCCATTGCGTACTCTCAAATTTGAGAGAAAAATGATTTTTTATAATGAATTGCCCCGCACTTTAAAAATACTGGATAGATCTTAAATAGTAAGATAATAGTAACAGTAACAATCATATATGAAAAACAAAATAAATGATTTGTTCTAATCCTGTGTTGTTTGTTTTTTAATTGTGTTGTAATTTTCTCTCTGAAATACATATATTTTTGTACGGCTGCGAGCTTCTTTACGTTCGTTAGCGTACGTATGTATATTGGATAAAAATGACTTATAATTTACATTTAATTGGTCCAGATTAAGGCGGAATTTCGTATTTCAAACCGACCCAGGACGCTTCAAATGCAATCTCATTTCAAAATTTTCTTGGGGGAGAACCCCCCCCCCAAACCCCCCTCGAACTCGTTCGCTTCGCTCACTCGTGGCGTACTCTCACAAAATACCCACGCTACGCCTAGACTATATCCTATTTAGTCTGAATTATATTCAGACTATAAGGCACCTATGTTAAAGTTTGGTAATTCCAAATATTTGTTTACATAGGAAGTGCTATTCAAAATGGCCGATTGGGTAAAATTAATTTGTACATTTGCTACTTCAGCTAGCTTTATTTCCACTAGACAATATGCTGTGTTACTTTTTATTGCATTTAATTGTACCTTACTATTTAATTGAAATTTTGTAATGTTTATTTTATTGAAAAAATGTTTCCTCCAATTGATAATTTTGTGCAAAAAATTTCACTGCAATTTCCACAGGAAAGTAGTACATCATAACAGACTGACTTCTGTCAGTAGATACATACTAACGCTACGCCTCTGACGGTTGTGCCAGGCATAAATCTTGCAATAGATAACATGTGAAAAAAATGTTCGAACTAGATTCAAGGTCTGTAATTCGAGCCGGTTGTTAGGTTTATCAACAGTTCAGACTTGATCAGTCTATGCAGTTCAATGAACAATAAAAAGGATAAATTCTACCAGCAAAATACCGGCAAATTCACGTGTAATTTTGAGATGGATTTTAGTGCTCATATACTTGCGATCACATAATATATTGCATTTATCCATAAAATTAACACTACCACTTACTATTAAATACCAAATGATCGCACAAAATACAAAAGTTCAAAGTAATTTAGATCAATTAGAATTTACACGTATCAAAATGATATTCGAAAAAGGCCAAAAAGTCCCGATAATCGAGAACCAGGAAGTAATATTTCCTGCTTTTGATAGATTGCAAGCAGAAAAAGATATTTATTTGGTAGTCCTTACCTTTATGTATAGTTGCTATGATGTTTAATGCTACGACTCTCCTCTGTTTGCCCGATTGAGGCTGAAATCGTCCCGCCACAACGTGAACCATTTTGTTTCTAGGTGGGCGATAATTGGTGAAAAGTTTCAAAGACGTTTCAAAATTACGACAATCAAGAGTCCTATTTGTCCTTGTAATGTATTCTATCACCACAAATAAACATTTACAAAGACATATCCATTCATGCTGGATATAGATTTTATTTATTTGAGTAATATACATAAAATAACCAAATTACGGCATCGAAAGCGAAACCAAAAGTGAGATGCGTGGGAATGATGCGCACTCGTCTTTTTTATTTACTGGAATACCATCTTAAAGGGCCGTTGTAATCAGAGAACATTCTTGAAAAATGAAACAACCTATAGTAGGCTTATGTTCATGAATGTTGAGAGATAACATGTGTAGTACATTGTTTATATCAATACTTTAATAAGGGATGCCATATATGGTCATACGATTCTTCCCAAAAAGCCCAGTTAACCAATATTTCTCTTCAATCATGTTTTATGTGATGTTTTATGATAAAATTTCAAGTTGTTTTTTCATGGGGAATGGGTAATCGCCCGGGGAATCCACACTTGACAAAAATGACCATGGTGAGGATTCCCGGGAATTCAATAATCGATGTCAGCAGAGGTTAAATATTTGGGACAAACAATAACACCCTCCCCCTAACTATCAAAATTTAGTTAATTATCCAACATTGATCTTTTGCATTGGTCCCTTACGGAATACAATTTTGTTAATAAACAAAAATGTCATTCATACTTACAAATGGTTTCAGGAAAGTGTTGGGTCGCATGAAGGTCATTATGCTTATATTAATTATCATTGCAGAGACCTGTAATTAAAAACAAAAGTGTTAAAAGGGCTTGTGATAGTGATGAATGACGATGAATGAAATCACGTATAATGAATGCGATTGGAATAGCATTAAGAATGAATTTGAATGACATAAATGATAAAATGCCATTGAACCGAGGCATAGCCAGACATAGACCACAAAAGGAATAAAACTTTAAATAAATTAAAAAATAAATAGGAAACTTCCAGACCAGCTTCAGAAATATATCAACTTTATGAATAAAAGACTTATCCATCAAAGTATCATGTAAAGTCATAAATAGATCTATGACAATTAATATATTTATTCAAAGTCCAATTCCTATACAGCTGTACCTATATATTCACTGTGCTACTTCCTAACCTTTTAAGTATGTGTTCTAATTTTTATCTATTAGTTTGAATTAAAGTCTCAGTCCTATATAATGACCTTCTTTATGAAGCATCAGTTCAAAATACAGTAGGGGTTTTTGAAAAGGCTTAGGTAAATATATAAATATTAGCATATTCATTCTCATCTCATTTAAAAAAGTTCTGGTTTGGAGGAAGAAGTTCATCAGTTATATGACCTCTAACTGTGTCTAATAATTATGAATTTTCTTGATATCGTACAGACCTCTTATCTAACATAAAATTGGTCCATCGATATGCTATATGTATATGTATATGTACGATACCACACATCCTTCGTATGCGAAATACATATTTATCCCATGGTTAAAAGGATATAAATCGAATATCACATGAACATATAATTGATATGTTGATCGAGATATCATATTTTAGCAAACAATTCCCAAACCATCGAATATCACGTCTTAAAAGGATGGTTTCAAAAGTGATACTGTAGATACACTTAATTTTGGCTACCGTTTTAATTTGACGGATTGGTGGATTGAAAAAATCCACCAAATTAAAAATCCACCAATTTTCAGTTGTATTTTGGAAAATCCCTAAAGAATTTGTAATTTGCAATTATTATACTTGTGTAAATGTTCCTATTTGGATGTCAGTGCTATTCACCTTTCAACAAAGTAAGGAAAATCGATAATTTCCGGCGCGCTGATTGGTTGTATGCAAATGAGTCAAATCAATGACGTCAATGATGGAAAGTTTTGAAGAATTAGTACAGCCACCATAGGAATATTTTGAATTAACTGCTATAAAAAGGATTCTATTTGCCCAACGTACTACTTATTTTTAAGCATATATGAAATATGGACGGGGCACTTTCTTTCCGAATCTTATGTTATTTAATTTAATCATTTTTTTGACAGAACTATTGTTTATTAAGACTTCTCAGATCAGCCTGGCCTCACATACCCGGGCTCACGTGTCTCGTGCGATTGTAAACAAAAAATGTAAATTGTGAAGTTACAAACATCGGCTAAATTATCTGATAGTGGTCATACACTATCCTGTTAAATGGTTATTATGTCGTAGTAAGAAGTTCCATCAGAAATTCACCATGAGTGACATTCGAGCAAAGCGTTACCTTTTGGTATTTATTCGCCATCAGCAATGTCAATAATGATCAGCAATGTCAACATATCATTAATAAACATTATATGATATACGCTCTTTCTCTGAAATCTTCCCAGTGATCATTATTCAAAACCGATCGTCACATAACTAATTTATCCAATGACAAGTGAAATCAGGACACCCATATCCATGTTTGATTTCTATTAAGCGTTCTCATTCTCATTATTTTCGAGAAATCCATCATCATTTTGGTTAAGAAATATACATTGGAATATATATACAATCATGTTTAACCCATACTTGGACGTATATTGGGAATATTTGAGAGAACAGGAAAATCCGCCCACGGCCAAGAAAACAAAACTGGACATGAATATTCTAAAATATTTCCACGATTGAACAATGTGAACCAGATGACCAATATTGGTATGAGATAAACATACTATCCTATAGTCGGTTCAGGATATTGGGAATATCCCTTGGCCAATATAATATATTTTCCCTCGGGACCTTCGGCCCTCACGCAGATATATTATAATTGCCTCGGGATAATCCCAATATCCTGAACCTCATGTAGGATAATCTCTATATATGTCACGCTCCTCTAAGATATCAATTCTATATCCCAATGTTTTCAAGTATAATATTTTCAAGATACGATCTGATATGACTTGCAGAAATAAATAGGAAGTAATCGTTTAGTTGATTGAATTATGGAAGTAGTGAAGTCAATGATTTAATGAATAAGAGCAAATGTTTTTAATTTGAACAGGTCATTCATCAAATGACACTGAAGATTTACTTAAAATAGATTTTCTATCTATATATTTTTATGCATGAGAGACATAATGTTGGTGAACTAATGATTATGATAATTTCACATGTTCACATCCAGTTCCTATCATGATTGAAAACTGACCGGGAGTCTGAATTCTCTTCAAATTATTTACTCATTATGAACAGAAATTTAATATTTAAATCGCTTAGAAGGCGTAAATAAATGTCAATTTGACGTTCAATAAAAATCTGTCAATCATTTACTGATTACTTGCACATTTGAAGAGGTAAAACTTACAGCAATCAACCGAGGATTTACATGTTAACTCAATTGCATTTGTTTTTCGCGGGAAAAAGTTTCAGTCATTGACGTCACAGATTTTTAAGCAGCTCATTATAATATTCATGAGCTGACTTTGTGGAAAGGTGAATACCATGACTGAAAGCAGAATACATGAATCTGAAATGTTTATTTCTAGATCTATGATAAAACTTGAGCTCAGTCCTGACTCCGCCAAATTATAAATAGCTACCAATATTTGAAAATGAGCAAATCTGCCAAATTAAGTAGCGTCAAATTAAATGTATCTAAAGTACAGTATTTAATGGTATCAATTTTTTCATGTTTTTTCAAAATTAATTTTTTTGCAAAATCTTAATTTATACATGTATTAATAATTCTTCTCAAAGAAATGGCATATGCAGCATGATATTTTACCTTATGTATTCAGATGTATTACATCACAGATAATTACATACATCTTCAAACTATATAGTCAATGTAAGTAATAATTAGTTTAAACAATATAATGTTCCAAAAATAAATGATACATAACCGAATAAAAATGAGACATATGTATGCACATTGTCTGTGGTATTTTGTACTCAAAAATTGTTCGATAAATTTGAAAGTGGATTTGCTTTTGATGCTTTTTGTAGACATACATGTCTATCGCCTCTGTTCGTGTGTATGTGTGGACATAAATTTGTGACATTTTACCAAACACACATACACATTTACTGCATATACATGTGCAAAAACAACATATATGTATACATAAATTGAATGTATTTGTGTAAAGACAAATAAAATGAGCATGTTTATAAATGTTTTGATAGAATGAAATGTTCAATGTTATCAATTACAAAAGTGTAAAAATCGAATAAAGATGCAGAAAAAATTCAATATCAGACAAACCTGAAAGAACTCATAAGAAATACACAAACAACTAACACCAAGCGCGGGTTGTCATCAAAAGATATGTCCAGCTTGGGGGAGCATGCTGTTTTTCGTAAAACACTAAGATAACTTCAAAAAATATTCTTAACTCCTATGTTTCATTATACCAAAGAAAATTAACTACTCTATGCAATGAGCATATCATTTGTGGATAACCCTCACTTCTCTTTGAAGTCTAATCACACTAAGAGTAAAAGCAATTCAAAACGACACCAGTATATCACACTCTAAAATGTACTATTTCTCTTTTTTAACTTTTTAGTGGCACGATATAGTGACATGATCATATGTATTTACATATGTTTTCAGCATAACTTTGAAGGTATTAATAAGATCTAGATGAATTGGGTCTTTTTAATTTTTCCTATAAAAAATAATGTTAAATTTCTTTGTCCAGCTGGGGGAGCAGTTTTGAATTTCAAGTTTGAAACTGCTCCCCCAAGCTGGACAAAAAATTATAGACCCAATTCATCTAGATCTTATTAAAACCTTCAGAGTTATGTTATAAACATAATAATTATCATTTCACTATATTGTGCCATCTTTTTAAAAAAGAAATGGTTCATTTTAGAGTGTGATACTCTGGCGCCGTATTCAATAGTTTTTTCTCTTACCGTTATTGGACTTCAAAGAGAAGTGAAGGCTATCCACAAATAATATACCCATTGCATGGAATAGGTTATATTCTTTGGTAAAACAAAACATTTGAGCTAAAAAATAATTTGTGGAGTTTTCTTAATGTTTTTTTTTGAAAAATAGCATGCTCCTCCAAGCTGGACAAATCTTTCGATGACCACCTGTGTAAGGGGTCTAAGAGAATAAAATATAAATTAACTCACCAGAACCTGGGTGGACAAGAGGTTGTTGACTACACAGTCATCTCTTGTGTTACGCACACAAAACACAAAGAAGAGTTGCGAAAACATCAGGATGCAGATTACACGATTAAGTTGAATGTGGATATCATCTACCGGTAGATTGCCCTGAAACAATAATGTATGGTCTTAAGTGAGACCAGAGTTTTTTTTACAACAATGACCTTGGTAGGCCTAGGCTTAGCCCTATAGAGATTTTTAATGTGTTTGCAAAAAATTCGGAGCAAAGTCGCATGGAAATCCCGAGCAAACAGCATTCACTTTTTCGGTGTTTGTTTTTTCATGTTCTTCTCCTAAAATATTTTTGCATATTTTTGTGACAGTAATTAGAAAAATCATATTTACGTTACATATTCTGTCAGCAAAAAAAAAACAAGCATGACTTTAGTTTCTTTTAAAGCATCTGAGGTACGTAAATTAACTGAGTCAATAGGGATAAATAGCCCAACGAGAGTCGGCGCTCTTGAAAAATACTTGGATCTTGTTTCCAATCATGGTATTGATATCTTATCTCGTTCGAAGAACATATTTGACGTCTGTGCACAAATTGTGGGACAGATGACTTGACCATGATAGCATGACTTGACAGGCCTTTAGGTGTTCCCAGATTGACAGGCCTGAATCTCAGATATATAAATAAAGGCCCAGAGGTGCATAATGCAGGTTTTAAGTCAAAACAAACAGATTTTTACCTGCGTTTCCAAATCATGTTTTGGAAAAAAGAAGCCAACAATCGCTGCAACGAGATTCAACAAAGACACCGTAACCAGCCACCATCTTCGGTTTCTCATGGTGATCAAACCAACCAGAGTCCAAATTGCCACGACAACGTAGTCTTTGGTATCAAACATGCTTGCTTTTTCAGTCATATCGCTAAATGTGCACAGTTTCAAACTTTCAAATAACAGATCTCGCTGAAGAACCCACGCTATCAGAGAACTGACGCTAATAAGTGCGACATCTATAAAATGACGTCAGGTCAAATATCTATTTTGGGAATTCCCAATATAAAAAAGGCTTTCCCAATATGTTTTGATGAATATCGTCGATTTATTCCGAAAACAATTTAGCTCAAGATGAATAGGGTAACACTCAAAAAGCAAGTATTATGATTGGCAAAAAATCGTCAACGATACGACAATAAGTACAAGGTTGTCAAAAGGGGGTGTGGCATGTTTACAAACAATTTAAAATTCTAACGAGTAGCAAAGGTCAAGGTGAGGTAAAGTCCAAAAGTAAAGTAAAATTAGGTCTCACTTATCCAACCTTTGGATATGAGGTTCAGTTATTGTAACACTATTCACAGAGTCGAAAGAATAGATTTTCACAGTACACTGTCATCTACTGACTGTAATATATCAGATTATTTGCTTACTAGTCTACACAATCTAAATCTAAGCTTAGTCTAAAATAATCTGAGTGCCTGTACTTGCAGCTTGTGACTGTCAAAAAGCATGAACTTTGTGATCCAGATCTCTCAAGCACAGATTTAGGATATAGTGATACACAGCATCTCGGCTTCAAACTCGTCAATACAACATATACGACAGATCCTGACCAATCCAAAGTAGACACAATGACGTCACCTGAATTAAGTGACATTCTGAAGGATTTCCCCCCAGGCCCCCTTGATGAATACAGGAAAAGGGCATCTTTTGATTGGAAAAATATGAAGCTATTTCTTGAAGGAGAAGACATCATAAAATATAAGGTAGATGTTACTTACTGAAAACTATGTCACATATAACATGTATATTGTATATATACTGTATATATATATACATTATTACTTCCTGCGAAAGTTATGTGGATTGATATAATAGCTTCCACACTACATGTAACTAATTTACTAATTACTACTAATTTAATTTAACAACAATGATTAATTGAATAATCTTATCAATTTTTATGAATAAAGAGACAACATGCATATTTAAGAAATAGAGACTGAAGAGCAGGTATTACATGTATATCAGGGAATAAATACCGGGCCGCTAGCATTTTCTGTACCCCGAACACCCCAAACGATTCCCTCTAATACCTACATGTAATTCCTACAGTACTATCTTAAACCAAAGCCATGGCAAATTGGCATGCCCAAATTATTTAGAGTGAACCCCTGGGCCTACACAACCGAAGGGAGTTGAAAGCTTTTGAAAGCTTTTGTGCCTAGCCCTAAGGTATTTATGTTGTATACATGTATTATTGTATACATGTAATTCCTGATCTGAGGTCTTCATTTATTACAATTCGAACATGAAAACTCACTTCATTTCCTACTTTTGGTTTAGCACAGAACGACATACTAGTACAGACTAGCTAAGGCATTGTATTAACGAATAAATACTGGGTGAAACGTTTATAGAAGTTGTGAATACAATCATGTTTGAATAAAAAATAAGCATATTTGACCACTATTTATGATTTGTCATATCAACCATCGCTATATGAAACTCAAAAGGGCTGACAAGGCAACTTTGTCTCAGCATAAGCAGACATGGGGGTGAATGAATAGTTAAATTACCTTATTGCACCCTCGTCTTATTCTCTTGTAGCATTATGTCTATTCCTGCATGGAGGGTGATCCTAAACTAGGAAAGATCAGCTCTGAGACATTACCTTTAGAAGAGCAGCGTCGTCTCGTTATGACACGTAATAAGCGTTTAATGGAGTATGACTTTGAAGCCACTTGTCGTGAAAACACTATTCCCCCGAATATTCTTGGACAATGTCTACGAAGCTATGACAAGTCATTGAGCATGAAATACTCCCTCAACATGCAGGTAAAATATGAACGATCACATAATTTATACATATCTCTTTGCTTAATTTTAGCACAACATCTGGAATAGGCTTGAAAATGACCCAATCTACACACATGGAATAGGAGATTTATCTACAGATCAGTACAGAGAGCTGAATTTCAAGAGAGTTAAACGACTAATGGAGTTTGATTTTTTAGCTGATGAAGAGGTTTTGAGTAACCCTCTGAAGGCAAATGAGTTTGTAGGAGCAGTAGGCATGTATGATTGGTGTTTAAGCTCAAAAAACATGCTCAACTTAGAGGTATGACTACAAGTAATTCCACTAATCAGTTGAAGGTGTTGTGAAGCCTGGTTGTCATGGTGTTGTCATCCCAACCAATATTTCTCCAGTAATATCAACTTTGGTAATCATGCAACAGATATGTCTCTTCATCTAAGAGTAGTTCAGGATTATACAGAGTTTATAAGAATGAAGAGTTTCTTGCAAAGCCCAATATGCTCACTGAACGTTTATTTCATATAGGCATTCTTTTTGAGGTTTTCAAACAATCATTTTAAAACCTCAGAAAGAATGTCCATTGACCTCTATAAAGATGGAAATATCGATTTTCCAAAAAGGGATTGTTTAAGGAATAATATCATGAAATTGGCACTGTGTCTTTATTTTCACTATAGTATATAATTGTAAATGTTGACTGATATGGGACCCTTTGCCATTTAAGTTTCCTTTTAAAAGGTCATTGCATAAAAATCCTTATCTTGAATGCTTCACCCACAAGGGGGTAATTTGGGAATGCCCATGGGGTTTTAAAAAGAAGGAAATTTTCCTTTTATTAATCCTTCTTACAAATAAATGCCCATGGGCCTATTAGTGAGAAACCGTAGTTGACTATCTGGAGAATTAATGGTTGATGTATTAACATATATACATGTACCTGTATGCTTGCTTCTCTGCTTTTGTGTAATTAAACATAACAATTAACAACCCTTGTGCCCTGGTTCCCATGCTTTCTATAAATCCATAAACACTGAGATACATGTAGTCTCAAACCTTTAACTGTTCTAGCATTGGATCTGGACCACTATGGAATCTGAGCCCCTATTTACTCGGTCATTAAACACACCCTCTGTTGATGAACAGCGGAGGCTCATGTATCTCCGCTATGGGAAACTGTTACAATATGACTTCGATAACCCCCAAGCTTTAGTTCAGAACCCAGCCAGGGAACTAGAATTGCAGTTGGCCCTGCTTATGTATAATGGTGCCCTCAGAGCTAAATATGTCCTGAGCAAACAGGTATTGGATATTTATGTGATAATGCGCCAAGTGCTCGTGGGTTTGGAGTCCAAGGAAAATTATGAATTATTTGTTGCAAGTGTATGCTTGTGATATTTTCACTCAAGAGTCTGAACCCCGGTTGGAACTTGTTATGGAAGATTTTTAAACTGTTTAAATTACATATAAAGTGCATAAAGATGAAATATTTGGGGATTTTGAGTAACTTTTGTCATTAAACCATTTTACCTTAGTTTTCTCTCTTTGTTACATTGAAGATCAAACACATTGCGCTCACCAGGGGCCTCCCTAGTTGTTTTCAACTGCCAAACAATTTCACCTGTTTTGGTCAAAATATCTCAATACATATTTTGTCAGGGTACAAATAAAATTTCAATAGAGAAGCAACATCCTTCAATCAAAGGGATTAATTTATTTTTCACTTTATGGAAAGTGAAATACTTTTGGACAAATGATGGAGAAGCAAATAATATATAGAATTTCCACAGGGTGCAGTTACAATTGTTCTAATGCTGATGCAATTAACACTCAATTGTTCTAATGCTGCTGCAATCGATATTCAATTGTTATAATGCTGCTGCAATCAACACTCAATTGTTCTAATGCTGCTGCAATAAACACTCAATTGTTCTAATGCTGTTGCAATTAATATTCAATTGTTGTAATGCTGCTGCAATCAATTTTCAATTGTTCTAATGCTGCTGCGATAAACACTCAATTGTTCTAATGCTGTTGCAATCAATATTCAATTGTTGTAATGCTGCTGCAATCAATTTTCAATTGTTCTAATGCTGCTGCGATAAACACTCAATTGTTCTAATGCTGTTGCAATCAATATTCAATTGTTGTAATGCTGCTGCAATCAATTTTCAATTGTTCTAATGCTGCTGCGATAAACACTCAATTGTTCTAATGCTGGTGCAATTAACACTCAATTGTTCTAATGCTGCTGCAATAAACACTCAATTGTTCTAATGCTGTTGCAATTAATATTCAATTGTTGTAATGCTGCTGCAATCAATTTTCAATTGTTCTAATGCTGCTGCGATAAACACTCAATTGTTCTAATGCTGTTGCAATCAACTCTCAATTGTTCTAATGCTGGTGCAATTAACACTCAATTGTTCTAATGCTGCTGCAATTAACACTCAATTGTTCTAATGCTGCTGCAATAAACACTCAATTGTTCTAATGCTGTTGCAATTAATATTCAATTGTTGTAATGCTGCTGCAATCAATTTTCAATTGTTCTAATGCTGCTGCGATAAACACTCAATTGTTCTAATGCTGTTGCAATTAATATTCAATTGTTGTAATGCTGCTGCAATCAATTTTCAATTGTTCTAATGCTGCTGCGATAAACACTCAATTGTTCTAATGCTGTTGCAATCAATATTCAATTGTTGTGATGCTGCTGCAATCAATTTTCAATTGTTCTAATGCTGCTGCGATAAACACTCAATTGTTCTAATGCTGTTGCAATCAATATTCAATTGTTGTAATGCTGCTGCAATCAATTTTCAATTGTTCTAATGCTGCTGCGATAAACACTCAATTGTTCTAATACTTCTGCAATCAACTCTCAATTGTTCTAATGCTGGTGCAATTAACACTCAATTGTTCTAATGCTGCTGCAATAAACACTTAATTGTTCTAATGCTGCTGCAATCAATATTCAATTGTTATAATGCTGCTGCAATCAACACTCAATTGTTCTAATACTTCTGCAATCAACTCTCAATTGTTCTAATGCTGGTGCAATTAACACTCAATTGTTCTAATGCTGCTGCAATAAACACTCAATTGTTCTAATGCTGTTGCAATTAACACTCAATTGTTCTAATGCTGCTGCAATAAACACTCAATTGTTCTAATGCTGCTGCAATAAACACTCAATTGTTCTAATGCTGTTGCAATTAACACTCAATTGTTCTAATGCTGGTGCAATTAACACTCAGTTGTTCTAGCTGCTGCAATGAACACTCAATTGTTCTAATGCTGCTGCAATCAATATTCAATTATTCTAATGCTGCTGCAATCAACACTAAATTACTTTAATGATGCTGCAATCAATTCTCAATTGTTCTAATGCTGCTGCAATCAATTTTCAATTGTTGTAATGCTGCTGCAATAAACACTCAATTGTTCTAATGCTGCTGCAATCAATACTTAATTGTTCTAATGCTGCTGCAATCAATACTCAATTGTTCTAATGCTGGTGCAATTAACACTCAATTGTTCTAATGCTGCTGCAATAAACACTCAATTGTTCTAATGCTGCTGCAATAAACACTCAATTGTTCTAATGCTGCTGCAATCAATATTCAATTGTTATAATGCTGCTGCAATCAACATTCAATTGTTCTAATACTTCTGCAATCAACTCTCAATTGTTCTAATGCTGGTGCAATTAACACTCAATTGTTCTAATGCTGCTGCAATAAACACTCAATTGTTCTAATGCTGCTGCGATAAACACTCAATTGTTCTAATGCTGGTGCAATTAACACTCAGTTGTTCTAGCTGCTGCAATGAACACTCAATTGTTCTAATGCTGCTGCAATCAACACTCAATTGTTCTAATACTTCTGCAATCAACTCTCAATTGTTCTAATGCTGGTGCAATTAACACTCAATTGTTCTAATGCTGCTGCAATAAACACTCAATTGTTCTAATGCTGTTGCAATTAACACTCAATTGTTCTAATGCTGGTGCAATTAACACTCAGTTGTTCTAGCTGCTGCAATGAACACTCAATTGTTCTAATGCTGCTGCAATCAATATTCAATTATTCTAATGCTGCTGCAATCAACACTAAATTACTTTAATGCTGCTGCAATCAATTCTCAATTGTTCTAATGCTGCTGCAATCAATTTTCAATTGTTGTAATGCTGCTGCAATAAACACTCAATTGTTCTAATGCTGCTGCAATCAATACTTAATTGTTCTAATGCTGCTGCAATCAATACTCAATTGTTCTAATGCTGCTGCAATCAATACTTAATTGTTCTAATGCTGCTGCCATCAACACTCAGTTGTTCTAATGTTGCTGAAATTAGCATTCAATTGTTCTAATGCTGCTGCAATCAATACTCAATTGTTCTAATGCTGCTGCAATCAATACTCAATTGTTCTAATGCTGCTGCCATCAACACCCAATTGTTCTGTGTTGCTGCTATCAACACTCAATTGTTCTAATACTTCTGCAATCAACACTCAATTTTTCTAATGCTGCTGCAATCAACACTCAATCATTCTAATACTTCTACAATCAATACTCAATTGTTCTAATGCTGCTGCCATCAACACCCAATTGTTCTCCCCCCTTAATTTTTTTATCTTTAAATTTATCATACTTTTCCATATATCATTTTGAAGCTCATGGAAAATGCTGATCACCCTGAAAAATTCAATAATGAAATCTTCTTAATAAAATTCCTACAATGTTTCTTGTAAGGTTGTAGTTGACCTTTGATTACGTTAAAACAAGTGAAATTACCAGGTATAGTGAATGAAAAGTGAAAAGTTGATACTGCAGTGACAATGCCAACATTGGGTGATTTTGATGTTTCTCAATATCATTACAGAGTAAAATGTGTTACATTCAGGTTAGCCTTTGAAGCAGGGGCATCATTAATCACAAAATAGTTGATAACACCTAAAATTAAACGTCCTGAATGATTTATACAGGATCATATCCTCGTAGAATTGAGGCCCTCCGGGCTGCTGGGGGAGACATACAGACTATAAAAAAGTGAAATATGGACATCACTAAAAATACTCTAAAGAATTTGGAATTTAACCTATCACTCTGAAATTTGGTGTGTGATCAGCAAATTAAATTCCCTTTAAGATGATATATACCAATGCTATGTTATCTCTGAATTAAAAAAGTTAAGGGGGGAGAACAGCCTTATTTGATGCCCTGTATGTTGCTGCTATCAACACTCAATTGTTCTAATACTTCTGCAATCAACTCTCAATTGTTCTAATGCTGCTGCAATCAACACTCAATTGTTCTAATGTTGCTATAATCAACACTCAATTGTTCTAACGCTGCTGCAATCAATACTTGATTGTTCTAATGTTGCTGCAATCAACACTCAATTGTCTTTATGCTGCTGCAATGAACACTCAATTGTTCTTACGCTGGATAGTAACTGCTTACCTTTAGGAATTCAAAAAGAAAACAATAACGCATTAAACATAGTACATGTAGTATGGACACTAGTTGAAATAACCTAGATGCGTGCAGGTAGTTACCATTTTCACCACTAGGTGGCTCATTTGGGTCAGATAACATGGCAGGTATAGTAGAAAGTTCCATATAACTTGAATATTCATCAGTTTCAGTGGATCAATTTTCATATCCACCTTATGCATCGAATAGTTATACTAATTAAAATATGTCCAATAAAAGTATTTATTATGCACCTCATTAAAATACTCAAATCTGATTGGTCAAGAGCTGCAGAGTCTATTGCCATACGTGGCAGCAAGATCTCGTTCTATCCAGTATTGAAGCAACAAGATTTCCAACCATCCCATATTTTTAATACCCTACCCCCAAGAGTGTTTTAGTAGACATACATGTATTCTTTAAAATAAAGTATTTCTTGACAACTTAACACCATCTTTTATTTATCTACAGTAAATTAATGGTAGGAATATGATATTAACCAAGGGAGGTGCATAATAAAATAAATACTGGATGACCATGACCTCGGATAGGTATTCTGGCATATCCACCTCATGGTCATCCAGTATTTGTTTAATATTAACTGTCCAATACAAGAAAAGATATTTCACTTTTTGTGATTTTATAATTTTTACTCACATCTATAGTCTATTCTAAAGACCCCCCTCCCCTAGTAGAATAGCCTTATGCTAGATGAAATAAGGTAAAGTATATTATTAAAAGTGTCATCTCTTAAAGATTATTTAAAACAAACAAGACATGTTTCTAAACAGGTAAGGCCTTTGATACCTTTAATTAAAACTACATGTAAGTATATTACCATATATTAGAATGGGCTATCCTAGAATGTACATGTGCATGTAGATTCCAGACTCTGGTCGTATGCATTATACTGTAGGTATTTATTTACCTCGACTGTCAGAGCCTTATTTCTTACGTTTGGGAAAGCAAAATCAAACTATTTGAAAATAGCATTATTTATTTCAATCGACATGCAAATATTAACCTGTCAGTTTTAAATCTTTGATCATTTGATTGGAATTCTAGATTTATTCTTTAGGTATTGTAAAGTGTTAAATATTGTGAATATCTGTCTGAAGTAAAAACTAGAATATTAATAATTAAACACCTAACCTAACAAATAAATATTATGATTTACAAACTGAATAAAGTAAGACATCTGGCTATTTAAAGCAAGTACTGCAGTTTGCAGTTTATAATTCTGATCTTAAATTAAATGTCAAACTTCATTTTTTCATAATGATTTGTAAATTCACGATTAATAAACATGGACATATTTAATGTTTCCTCCATTTGTCTAAACTTGAATTTATTGTATTGGCTTTTGAAAGTTTGAAATGAGAGGGCATTAAAATTTAATTTTAAATCTAAAACATTTCAAAGAGAACATGTAGCATTTAGAGTTTGGCAGATAGTAAATGGATGCTATAGTGTTGTTCTTTGTTTTAGATGTTTGGAGGTACAGTTCGTGCTTCTGGCTCAAAAAGACATGAAGAAATTGTGGAAAAAGTTAACAACTTCGAGGTAGGGTGCTGATATTTAAATGGCAAAATTAGCATAAAGCTGTAAATATGTTATGCAGAATATTCTTCTCTGGGAAAAAACACCAACTTATCCATTCTGACTATTAATGTTTAGCTTCAATGTTATTTAAATTGTATACATGTTACATATAATTATATAAACTATGGCGTAGCCAGGATTTGGTGACCAGGGGTTCTATTTTTTAAAGAGGCTCTATGCCATAGGATAGCACAATCAAGACCCCTTTGGACTTTTTTTGCATATTGAGTTTCACCACATATATACCCATCTACATGTACTTACCATAGAAGAAGTCCCAAATCCCCCTCTTTCAGTGTTAATTTTGCGATTGTGCTGGCTGATCTAATAATTTTTGAAGAAATTAATTCAATCTTAAGTTTGAATATACCAGGAAAGTCCTCCTGTTATCTGATTGGTCGTTGCATTTGTTTATCATAAACCTGATTGGCTGCCTGGTTCAAGGCGCTTGTGTGACTCAATGGGGATTCCCCTCGCTAGCCGAGGAATCTATTGTGGTGTGGTTAATTCTGGAGTTTGGTTGTTCTGTTGATTATTTCCGATATTTCGGCAATAATATACCCAAAAATTATTCTCAAGATATATCCATAGTATGTGAGATATTGTATGAGCAATAACAATAGGACATCATTGATTGTCTGGGGGAGAAACTTATGGCATAATGCATCTTTAAGTTATTCAAAAATCCCCACCCCCTTCATTAGGGTTCTTCACATAAACGCATTTTTGTGTTTATACATACAATTTACACTCCCTCCAAAGGTTTGGCAGCCCTACCTCCCCCATTGGATTACATGTTAAAAGGCCCCTTTATGTTTGAAGTCGTATTTGCATAATTGTGAAAATGATTATCAAAAATCTCTTTGAAGCTATGTAAATTTAATTTTAACAAATTTTTTGGTACCCTTTGCATTCATTCGACTTCACTTTCTGAATCGACCAGGCGCCATTGACTTTTCCTCGATGTCTTGATTTGTCTGTTGTCTATCTCCTGTATGGGGATTTTAGACATCCTAGAGATTTCATACCATGGACCATTACACAAAAATGATCGTTTGGAGTTTAGGACATCTGCGTCTTCATATTGGACCAGAACTGGCTCAAAACAAAATTCCTACAAAATATTTATTGATTTAGCCATTCCCTTATAAAAAATTCAACCTTGAAAGTCCGAATTTAAACCTTTTCCATCAATCATTGAATACTGATTGTTTCAACTACTAAGATCAAAGGAAAAACCATTGTACGGTGATAAGCAATCATTGTGCAACCATTGCGTTCAACCAAACAAAGTCAACTCTTTTTCAATGACTGCGCAACCATTTCTATACAATCATTGTAATCTGCAACCATTGTAAACTGCAACCATTTCACATTGAAATGTAAATGGTTGCAATACGTTTTGTTCAATGATTACATAGTTCAAGCCCTGCAACCATCCTGAATTGGTATCGTTCCAAAAAAGTAATCATTTTACTTGAATTAAAATTATCGTTAAGTAATGATTTGAATCTACCTCTATTCAACAACAGTATATTAGGATATTTTTCTGCAAGCATACATGCATGTTTACTATAGTAAATTACTAAATTCATGTTCATATGTTTCTTTCTCCAGTACGGATTTAGGAATGCGATACCAGACTACCAGATAATTTATGTTCTCTGTCATTTACATTATTTACACAATTAAAAGTACCATATCTAGTGTTTATTTCCCGTTATCTGATATTGCCAAAATAATGTATTTTTAATGTTAATTATGAAAAGAATTGAGCAAAATTCCAATTTGGTTAAGGAATTGACCAAGGAAAATCTTAAGATTTCCTTTAAACTTAACAAAATCACAAGACGAGACACCATTGTTTTTCTTCATGATTAGACTGATATACATGTATGATCAAAAGAGGCAGGGTATGATGTACAAAATAATACAAACATGTAATCACAAGTTGATTGCTTTATTAAGTGAAAATGTTTTTATAGTAATAATGCATTCAGGCACCAAAGACTTAATTTTCACAGTTTCAATGGAAAACATCTGAATTAATAATTTCAGTAAAATTTTGTCAAGGTAGATGAATTATTGCTACTCCCATGATATACAAATAGAGTGGTATGGAAACATAGGTTTAGCTCAGGACCCCCGCAAAAGTTTATATACAATGAACAGGCCAGTAGTCAGCCCCCCCCCCCAGCAAAATGGGTATTCAAATGTATCCATGTGTAGTTAACACCAAATATCAAGAGTATGACTCACTAAAATTTAAAAAATACAACAAGAGGACTATTTTGATATTGACTGTATATTATGTGTGAAACACATTATTCACAACAGATTTAATTACCATGTTCTTTCTTGGCAAATATTTTTTATAACAATGCTCAACACAACAATATCTACTACATATTGATATTCTCATGGGTTTAAGAAAATCAAAATGCTTGAACAGCCAATTAAAACGGTTGAACAGCTAATTAAAACGGTTGAACAGCTAATTAAAACGGTTGAACGGCTAATTAAAATGCTTGACCAGAAAAAGGGTTCATAGTCCTAGTTTCTGTTATATCTATTTTCATCTTGTGTTATACTATATATTTATTTTAATTATCTATTTCATGCAGAGGGGGGAGTTAAAATTCAAAAAGTGTTTTCAGATTTTTGAGGGTTTATTTCTTTATTCAATTACTTCAATAAGTGCTGAGAAATCTCAAATAGCAAGTATATGAAACTGCAAATAATATTTTCAGAATTTTTTATTTCATTTTTATTTAGTTTGTTTTACCATAGGCATTCAATAGATTGAAAGTCCATGGTTTTACTTTATTCACTAGGGCAGAGCATTTGTACTGAAAAGTGTTTTCAAAAGTGTTGCCTTGCCGAATTTTTTTGTTTTGTTTATGGATTAATGGATTAATAAAGTTTCTTTAGACACATCCTTCAAAGCAGACTCTAATCAAACTAGATAGACTGAGTCTAACTGTAATCAGAGTTTTTTAAGTTATGCTTATCGACTTAATTATTTAAAACACATCCTGTAATGTCTGATTGCATTTTCTCTATCAAATCAAAACAGATTATTTTCCCATTGAAGGATTTCTTCCTTCCAGACACATCTTCCTTCCTTTATAATTGCGATGATTGCAAGGTGAAGTGTAAAATCCAAGACTTGACCCAATCAAATTTTTTTCAAATGATTTTGCAATAACTTAAAAAGTAGTGAAGTGATTTTGTAAAAATGATAGTCATGACAGCGAGGGGGATTTGCTATGCCTAAGCATTGCTGTTATCTAGATAATATACATGTGAGTTAGACAATCACCATCCTTCAAAGTTAGATGAAAATTGGTTCAATATATTTTCATTCACAAGACAAGTTTACTTAACTATTTCAATACTTTAAATATCTTTTTGATCAAACCATTTAAATTCTGACATGTACAATATGCATGAAATACACACATTTGAAATATATTTTTTAAAGAGCAAGATAATTATTTTATGTTGTATTGAGATAAAATTGCCATAGTTTTAAAGGGTTGCATTCAATTGAAACGGTTGCAACAAATGCAACCAAAATTGTCAAGCGTTTACAATGGTTGCATATGATTGAAACATTTCAATGAGTTTACAACCAAAATTGTAATGGTTGCATCGTAACGGTTGGCATGGTTGCATAAATGATCGGATCAATGATTGTACAATGATTGTGCAACGGTTAAAATTCGGACTTTCAAGGTTGAATTTTTTATAAGGGTTGCCTGAGATGTTTTATTTTGTCCAAGAAGAAGTAGCTTTTGAGCTAAAAAATAGATTGTGCGAAATTATTGATATTTCTAAATCTAAAATCCCAACCCATGCCTAAGGTTGCCAAATTTTTGGACAGAAGTGTAACTTTGCTATAACATGTTTTTTACAAAATAGGGATCTAGTGTTCACCATAACAAATATGAACTTATTTATTGATCACATAATGTTTTCAAATTGCATAGTAAACTTATGTTTCTGCTCCATTGTTGTGATTTTTTCCACAAAATAATTTTTGGGGAAAATCCGAACCCACCGAACTCCCAGTGCTTACGGCTATGATATATATTTATTTGTTTTATTTGTTTGTAATTAGGTTGGTTGATCTAATTTGTAGTATATGTGTCCATATTATTTGTGTTACAGTACCTGGGATGTTTTGCTCTGACTGAACTAAGCCATGGGAGCAACACTAAGGCAATGAGAACAGAAGCACACTATGACCCCAAGACACAGGTAAGCTGCTACAGGTCTACAAAATGGAGCTAGGAACCATCATTCTCCAGTGGAATATTTTTCAAAGTCCCTCTGACTTAATGTAATACAGTGACACCTTATATACTCTTTGCATTTGTCAAACTTGCTTTTCAAAAGAGAGCTTATGTCTTCACTCAGTTTACAATAAATCTCTGAACTTTCCAAGGCAATCATGTCCTATCTTTTAGCCCATCATGGCCTTGACGATGTTCTCCAAAACAGAAATCAGAATAGATGACAAATACTAATTGAGCGAGAGACACTTTTGCAAACTGAAACATGTTTAGGTCTCTCAATATTATAATTGTACAAAGGAAACTTTGGTTGATTTTAAAAAAGTTTCTTGTTAATGAAATAAAAGGTTTATCTTAATTTTTATATATTTTGGGGGGTTTGTTTTAAGTTTTTGCATACTTTTTGTTGAATCTACAATATTGAGAGGTCAAACGACAATATTGAGAGGTCTAAAAAATGCTGTATATGCTATTTTGTTCCAACAAGGTTCGGAAAGACATTTTATTTCATTCTCAAGAATTGGTAGAAAGGCAGAAAAAATAATTGCACTAAAAACAAAAAAATGTTAACAAAAACACTTAAATAAAATACAAATATTATTGTTGCCAATCAGTCAACATTACATAAAGGACCGAGTTTTTTTACAGAATGTTTTCAATAATTGGTTTAACAGAAAAACATTGTTGAATTCAGTTCACCATATAGATACCAATCCTTTGAATTTTTAACTCATCAATATTGCCAACTGTCCAACTGTTTCAATCCAGCAACTTATTCTGTACATACATAGAGCACCAAAAATGAAATCACAATACAGATTCAAATTACCAATACATGTTTTACATGATAACATGTGTTCATTCCAGGAATTTATAATCAACACACCAGACTTTGAAGCAACTAAGATCTGGGTGGGCAATATGGGCAAGACAGCCACACATGCAGTAGTGTATGCTCAACTTTATACAGCCGATGGTGAGTCAGCTTGCAAATATGACATAAAGGGGTGTTGCAAACAGAACTGGACGACAGAGGTGGATACAATGGGAGGGTACTGTGGATAATAGAGGTGAAATTCCCTGGGGGTTCATTGTGTACAAAATTTAGCAGGGGTCCTGTATAAGTAATAGTCTTATTTTGTGGGTATTATATTTTTAAAAACACATGCTGTTAAGACAGTTATATCATTAGTACAGGTCATTAAGTTCATGGAAGGTCAGGATACTACAGGTCCTGGCTGAACCCTCAGATATCAATATATTCCCATACCAATCTGTCAAATTTCAATGTGTTCCCATACCAACCAAAATAACGCCCAAAAGCCATAGCAAATGTCCAAATATAGGACTAATGCCATACCAAATATCCACATATAAGACCAAGGGCATTCAAAATGTGTAAAGCCCCAGAAAAAAGGCAGATCTTTGAGGAAACAATCCAAAACAACCTCAAATTAAGGATTTGTGTAACAACTAGACCAATGCCATACCGCAAGTGTGATGTGATGTATTTTCTACGACCATTCTCATACCAGAAAGTGAAAAAATCAAACCATTGTCATATCTCAAAAGTCACAATATGGGGGCATTCTCATACCAGATTCTAAAATATGGGTCCATTGCCATACCAAATGTCAAAAAAGGTACCCCATGTGCGCCGCCAAGGATCCCTGTCAAGGTTGGGTGGAATTCTTAAGTTGTCAATTATTTTCTAGTTGAACAGAATGTGGCATCCAATTCAACTCAGATTCCTGTATCCACTATTGCGAAAACAAGTTTTTAAGACAAATATTTCATTATCTTGTAGAGTGAGAGAAATTACCATTGGCTCAATAATTTCAAAAAGTGGTTTGATTTGATTTAAATCCATATCATAATACTGTACATATTATTTTATTCTTCAGGCAGTTGCCATGGGTTACATTCCTTTGTTGTACCACTGAGAGATCCGCGGACACTACTGGCTCTCCCTGGGGTTGTCGTTGGAGACATGGGGGAGAAGATAGGCCTCAATGGCCTCGACAATGGGTAGGCTAGCAACATGTTTTGAACAATACATGTTTATGCCACAGATTATGGAGTATTATTTCCCATTCATATTATATGAGTGTGTGATCATAAGTTTTATCCTACAATTAGTGTACTATATGTATAATAAACATCAAAAAATAAATTTGATATCTATTCGCAAAATGAATAACCAGAGGATATCGCTTCGATATACTCCGGAAAACCAATATGCAGGGGATATTGTGACGATATACTCTGGGAAACCAAAATGGTGAGGATATCGTGACGATATACTCCCGCCAAATTGAACTATTTGACATGAAATTTATTTTTCAATGATATTAAACATTTAGTACACTACTATATCTAGTAAGTGTAGGATAATAAGAATATATCATTCTAATCTACTGGGTGATATTGATATATGCACTGGTTCGCTTCGCTCTCTCGTGCAGATATTAATATCACCTTGTAGATGAAAATTATATTCCTCAAAATCATAGGATATCCTATAAATATAATCAGGTAATCAGGATTAAATATGGGTTTATTCCACATGACAATATGATATTTCCCTCTAGCCCTCGGGGCCCTCAGGAATTGTCCCTCGGAATAAAACCCATTGAATCAAACTATTAATTCCAAAATGTACTTCAAAATTCCCAAATTTTAATTATAAACAAAGGATAATTACAAATAGAGAGCAGACGGTTTTTACATATATATTAAATACAGATTTCTACATAACATCCCAACTTTTTAATTTCAGCTTTGCAGCCTTTAACCAAGTTCGGATTCCAAGAGACTATTTGCTCAATAGAACGGGAGATGTTACCCCAGATGGCAAATATGTAACCCCCTACAAGGTTAGTTATATGTAACCCATAATGGCAAATATGTAACCCCCTACAAGGTTAGTTATATGTAACCCCTAATGGCAAATATGTAACCCCCTACAAGGTTAGTTATATGTAACCCCAGATGGCAAATATGTAACCCCCTACAAGGTTAGTTATATGTAGCCCCTAATGGCAAATATGTAACCCCCTACAAGGTTAGTTATTATGAAACCCCAGATGGCAAATATGTAACCCCCTACAAGATTAGTTATTATGTAACCCCAGATGGCAAATATGTAACCCCCTACAAGGTTAGTTATATGTAACCCCAGATGGCAAATATGTAACCCCCTACAAGGGTTGTTATATGTAACCCCTAATGGCAGATATGTAACCCCCTACAAGGTTAGTTATATGTAACCCCTAATAGCAAATATGTAACCCCCTATAAGGTTAGTTATATGTAACCCCAGATGGCAAATATGTAACCCCCTACAAGGTGAGTTATATGTAACTCCTAATGGCAAATATGTAACCCCCTACAAGGTGAGTTTTATGTAACCCCAGATGGCAAATATGTAACCCCCTACAAGGTTAGTTATATGTAACCCCTAATGGCAAATATGTTACCCCTTACAAGGTTAGTTATATGTAACCCCAGATGGCAAATATGTAACCCCCTACAAGGTTAGTTATATGTAACCCCTAATGGCAAATATGTAACCCCCTACAAGGTGAGTTATATGTAACCCCTAATGGCAAATATGTAACCCCCTACAAGGTTAGTTATATGTAACCCCTAATGGCAAATATGTTACCCCTTACAAGGTTAGTAATATGTAACCCCAGATGGCAAATATGTAACCCCCTACAAGGTTAGTTATATGTAACCCCTAATGGCAAATATGTAACCCCCTACAAGGTGAGTTTTATGTAACCCCAGATGGCAAATATGTAACCCCCTACAAGGTTAGTTATATGTAACCCCTAATTGCAAATATGTAAGACCCTTCAATGTCTGTTTTTGTAACCCCTAATGGAAAATATGTAACCCCTACAAGGTCTGTCTTATAAATTCCTGTAATTACTTTGAGTACATGTACATCATCAGGAAGTTTACTGTATTGTGAAAACAATTATTTCATGGATTCCTAAGGCTAAAAGATTATTGTACTTGTACTTTACATATATAGATAGCCTTGAGGAGCAATTATTTTTTCAATGCCTCATAGGCTTCTACATAAATTCTATCAAAGACTTAAATTAATATTTTGCACACATATTTCAGGATCCAAACAAACGATTTGGTGCTTCTTTGGGGGCACTCTCAGGGGGTCGTGTAGGGATTACAGGGATGTGTGCCACAAATCTAAAAATGGCACTTCCTATCGCAATAAGATATTCTGCTGCAAGGCGACAGTTTGGTCCACCAAATAAACCAGAGATGCCAGTATTAGAATACCAACTACAGGTAAAAATCTCCAGCAAAACATGTCATATATTTTTGTAACATTATAATATCCTTATTCCTTACATTTCCCCCTTTCTTATGGTATATTGAAACTCTGGGACAAATGGAGTCTCTGCTCTCCCTTGGAGGAGTATAGATGTTCATTGAGGGTACAGGTCATCAATTTATAAAAATGATTTACTAAATGAAGCTCAAATTACACCTTACCTCATTCACTAAATCTGTCGATGTTTTCCTCACCTATGTTTAGTTCCTGGCGTATTGAACATAACATCTATATAGTGGTCAGTCAATAGAGCAAACCACAACTGTTAAATCATTGATTTTATTGCAGCAATGGCGTTTAATTCCCTTTCTTGCTGCCTCATATGCAATTGATTACTTCTCTAAAAAGTTCTTTATGGACTATGTGGAGTTCCGCATTGGAATGATGATGGGGGACAAGAGTGAGAAACAGGTACAACATTATTTAAAATTGATTTAGTTACGGAGTTAAGGAAGACATTCAAAAGTTCAATAGCACTAGACCTCTGTTCTTAAAAACACAATATTGTTAGTTTTTATAATGAAGCAAATCTCTGAAAGTCACCTAATCCATGTATTAATTCCAGGCAGAACTTGGACGAGAGATACATGGCTTATCATCATCAAGCAAGCCCTTGGCAGGATGGACTGCGAGAGATGCCATACAGGAGTGCAGGGAGGCATGTGGGGGTCATGGCTATTTTAAAGGTATGAAATAGTGGAATAGTAACAAGCTCTTTGTCTTAACAGGTTCAGAGGTTCTAGTATATTTCTGAAGATGACTGAGCTTGGCCTTTTCTGGAGTTCTGTTCAAGAAGAAATTTTCAAGATGGCCACTGATTATCATGTTTTGTTTGGTGTGATTTGCTACACAGGGAGATATGCTGATAACTCAATTAGCACAAAATTAGTATTAAACTAGCACTCTGGCAAAAGCGCGCTCATGAGCACTCATGTCACGTGCTAATGTAGTACTAATTCATGATATGAGTACTCATTTAGTGCTGAAAAATCAATTTCATGAGTACTATTTTATCACTTATGATATGAGTACTAATTTTGCGCTAAAACATGCAATAAATCAGTATTCATGTCATAAGTGCTCATTTAGTACTAATATTCACTGAAATGAGTACTCAATTAGTGCTAAAATGTCATGAGTACTATTATAGTACTCGGCATATCTCCCTGTGTACTCTGTGGAATTACTGCTATTTTATCACTCATCATGTGAGTACTCATTTAGTACTAAAACATGCAATAAATCAGTACTTGTGTCATAAGTGCTCATTTAGTACCAATATTTACTGAAATGAGTACTCAATTAGTGCTAAAATGCCATGAGTACGATTTTAGTACTCGGCATATCTCCCTGTGTACTCTGTGATGTTCATTCATGTTTTTTATTTTTCATAGTGAATCGACTTGGTGACTTGAGAGATGAGAATGACCCTAACTGCACATATGAGGGGGACAACAATGTGCTCTTACAACAGACCAGCAACTATCTACTTGCCAAACTAAGAGAAGGTCAGATCAATAGCTGCAATGCTTGATTCATTGCTTTAATAGTATTTATACATGTGTAGTAGGAGTAAATACATTCAAATCATAACAGTAAACATTACAGTATTTCATTTTATTTCAGTGTCTACATATTCATTTTTACTGGTATTCTGGTAAAAATGAAAGTGAACATTATGCTTGGCCTGGTTCTACTTCAATAAGATAATAAAAAATATTTTTTAAAAAAGTATAAATTGCAGGCCACCCAATTCAGTCCCCACTAGGATCGATAGACTTCCTTGAAGATATAAACACAATCAAACAGACCAAGTTCTCTGCTCAGACCATGGAGCAATGCTGCAACACTGAAGGTGAGGGGCTTCTCAATACAACAGTGTTCATGTTTGGGAGTGGCACTGAACATTGGATGTTCTTGAATTTCATACCTATTTTTAGAACCCTTGTACCTTTATCTTTAGAGAGAGGGAGTTATATCTTGAGTTATATGGTAATCATGAATGCATAGGTGTCATTTGTCACAATTGCATTTGTGACAAAGAGATATGCCATAGTGCCAAAATGACAGGTCCCTAGGTTAAGATACAATATAGATGATCAATACTACATGTAAAACTTCATTCAGCAGTTGTTTTTGTAATGATGGTTGAGGATCCATACTGGTGAAAATAGGACTATTGGTCAGAGATCCACACCAGTGTAACACTGTATTTTGGCAGACAAGCATTGCATGAAGTGGACTGGTGTCTACTATGTAGTCAACTTGGTTGAGTGACTGCAATTGTTTTTTTATTGCAATTTCATAGGTTTCAATTCTCCTGGATTCCTCCTTTAGACCCCACCCTTTAATCAATTGCATAATTCAGTTCTCCTTGATTCCTACTTTTGACCCCACCCAAAAATTACAATTGCGTATGTTTCAGTTCTCCTGGATTCCTCCTTTTGAACCCACCCCTCAATGACATTTACATAATTCAGTTTTCCCTGATTCCTACTTTTGAACCCACCCCTCAATGACATTTACATAATTGATCAGTTCTCCTGGATGCCTCCTTTTGAACCCACCCCTCAATGACATTTACATAATTGATCAGTTCTCCTGGATTCCTCCTTTTGAACCCACCCCTCAATGACATTTACATAATTGATCAGTTCTCCTGGTTGCCTCCTTTTGAACCCACCCCTCAATGACATTTACATAATTGATCAGTTCTCCTGGTTGCCTCCTTTTGAACCCACCCCTCAATGACATTTACATAATTGATCAGTTCTCCTGGATGCCTCCTTTTGAACCCACCCCTCAATGACATTTACATAATTGATCAGTTCTCCTGGTTGCCTCCTTTTGAACCCACCCCTCAATGACATTTACATAGTTGATCAGTTCTCCTGGTTGCCTCATTTTGAACCCACCCCTCAATGACATTTACATAATTGATCAGTTCTCCTGGATGCCTCCTTTTGAACCCACCCCTCAATGACATTTACATAATTGATCAGTTCTCCTGGATGCCTCCTTTTGAACCCACCCCTCAATGACATTTACATAATTGATCAGTTCTCCTGGTTGCCTCCTTTTGAACCCACCCCTCAATGACATTTACATAATTGATCAGTTCTCCTGGTTGCCTCCTTTTGAACCCACCCCTCAATGACATTTACATAATTGATCAGTTCTCCTGGATGCCTCCTTTTGAACCCACCCCTCAATGACATTTACATAATTGATCAGTTTTCCTGGTTGCCTCCTTTTGAACCCACCCCTCAATGACATTTACATAATTGATCAGTTCTCCTGGATGCCTCCTTTTGAACCCACCCCTCAATGACATTTACATAATTGATCAGTTCTCCTGGATGCCTCCTTTTGAACCCACCCCTCAATGACATTTACATAATTGATCAGTTCTCCTGGTTGCCTCCTTTTGAACCTAACCCTCAATGACATTTACATAATTGATCAGTTCTCCTGGATGCCTCCTTTTGAACCCACCCCTCAATGACATTTACATAATTGATCAGTTCTTCTGGATGCCTCCTTTTGAACCCACCCCTCAATGACATTTACATAATTGATCAGTTCTCCTGGATGCCTCCTTTTGAACCCACCCCTCAATGACATTTACATAATTGATCAGTTCTTCTGGATGCCTCCTTTTGAACCCACCCCTCAATGACATTTACATAACTGATCAGTTTTCCTGGATGCCTCCTTTTGAACCCACCCCTCAATGACATTACATAATTGATCAGTTCTCCTGGTTGCCTCCTTTTGAACCCATCCCTCAATGACATTTACATAATTGATCAGTTCTCCTGGATGCCTCCTTTTGAACCCATCCCTCAATGACATTTACATAATTGATCAGTTCTCCTGGTTGCCTCCTTTTGAACCCACCCCTCAATGACATTTACATAATTGATCAGTTCTTCTGGATGCCTCCTTTTGAACCCACCCCTCAATGACATTTACATAATTCATCAGTTTTCCTGGATGCCTCCTTTTGAACCCACCCCTCAATGACATTTACATAATTGATCAGTTCTTCTGGATGCCTCCTTTTGAACCCACCCCTCAATGACATTTACATAATTGATCAGTTCTCCTGGATGCCTCCTTATGAACCCACCCCTCAATGACATTTACATAATTGATCAGTTCTTCTGGTTGCCTCCTTTTGAGTTTTCCTGGATGCCTCCTTTTGAACCCACCCCTCAATGACATTTACATAATTGATCAGTTCTTCTGGATGCCTCCTTTTGAACCCACCCCTCAATGACATTTACATAATTGATCAGTTCTCCTGGTTGCCTCCTTTTGAACCCACCCCACGATGACATTTACATAATTGATCAGTTCTCCTGGTTGCCTCCTTTTGAACCCACCCCTCAATGACATTTACATAATTGATCAGTTTTCCCGGATGCCTCCTTTTGAACCCACCCCTCAATGACATTTACATAATTGATTAGTTCTCCTGGATGCCTCCTTTTGAACCCACCCCTCAATGACATTTACATAATTGATCAGTTCTTCTGGATGCCTCCTTTTGAACCCACCCCTCAATGACATTTACATAATTGATCAGTTCTTCTGGATGCCTCCTTTTGAACCCACCCCTCAATGACATTTACATAATTGATCAGTTCTCCTGGTTGCCTCCTTTTGAACCCACCCCTCAATGACATTTACATAATTGATCAGTTCTCCTGGTTGCCTCCTTTTGAACCCACCCCTCAATGACATTTACATAATTGATCAGTTTTCCTGGATGCCTCCTTTTGAACCCACCCCTCAATGACATTTACATAATTGATCAGTTCTCCTGGATGCCTCCTTTTGAACCCATCCCTCAATGACATTTACATAATTGATCAGTTTTCCTGGATGCCTCCTTTTGAACCCACCCCTCAATGACATTTACATAATTGATCAGTTTTCCTGGATGCCTCCTTTTGAACCCACCCCTCAATGACATTTACATAATTGATCAGTTTTCCTGGATGCCTCCTTTTGAACCCACCCCTCAATGACATTTACATAATTGATCAGTTTTCCTTGATGCCTCCTTTTGAACCCACCCCTCAATGACATTTACATAATTGATCAGTTCTCCTGGTTGCCTCCTTTTGAACCCACCCCTCAATGACATTTACATAATTGATCAGTTTTCCTGGATGCCTCCTTTTGAACCCATCTCTCAATGACATTTACATAATTGATCAGTTCTCCTGGTTGCCTTCTTTTGAACCCACCCCTCAATGACATTTACATAATTGATCAGTTCTTCTGGATGCCTCCTTTTGAACCCACCCCTCAATGACATTTACATAATTGATCAGTTCTCCTGGATGCCTTCTTTTGAACCCATCCCTCAATGACATTTACATAATTGATCAGTTCTTCTGGATGCCTCCTTTTGAACCCACCCCTCAATGACATTTACATAATTGATCAGTTCTCCTGGATGCCTCCTTTTAACCGCACTCAACAATTACAATTGCATATATTTCAGTCCCCCTAGCAGCCTACAAATGGCTGGTGACATACCTGTTGGAAGAGAGTGCAATTAAGTTGAAGTCAGAGCTCTCTAGCGGGAAAGATTCATTCTCAGCACGTAATGACAGCCAGGCATACTACTGCAGGACGCTGTCTTTTGCCTTCATAGAGGTTAGTACTACTGTTAATGGTATATCCATTATCACAGATGCAGGTTTATTGTTAAATAAATAAGTTTTTGTGAAAAGCAAATTGGTTTTATAATAAGAGAAAGGGGGTAAATGTTGATATTATTTTGTAGTATTTTAAGTAGTAGCCTTGCCTAAGTCAGTATCTTTTATTTTTATGTCACCACCAAATAGTGGTGACATATTGTTATGGTCTCCATTTTTGTGATGGCGGTTGGCAATTGGCAGGTGTGGTTGGTGATCGGCGGGTGGCGGTTGGTGTCTGTAACAAATTCTTAAAACTTACAATTACTTAACAAATACTGTTTAGACTGACTTCAGTTTTTTCAAAATCATCTACAAGTTTTCTGAAGTTCAAATCTGACCTTCATTGACCTTTTCAAGGTAAAAAAGGTCAAAAAGGCCTTTTTTCAACTTGCTTCAAATTGACCAAATATTTTTTCAAAATCATCTACAAGTTATCAGAAGTTCAAATCTGACTTCAGATTTGAGATTTGACCTTCATTGACCTTCTTAAGGTAAAAAAAGGTCAAAAATGTATTTTTTCAAATTGACCAATTGTTTTTTCAAAATCATCTACAAGTTATCAAAAGTTCAAATCTGACTATAGATTTGACCTTCAATGACATTCTTAAGGTCAAAAAATATTTGACCTTCTCAAGGTCAAAAAGGTATTTTTCTAACTTGCTTCAAATTGACCAATTTTTTTTCAAAATCATCCACAAGTTCTCAGAAATTCAAATCTGAGAAAATACAGACAAGGCAAGGCTACTGAATTATTGAAAAATTTAACCATTTCCATTTTTGTTTATGTGAGTTGTCTGATAGTTATAACCACTATTGTTTTAATTGACAACTTAGTGTTGATACACGATATTTTTCAAGACACTATTTTCATGTGCTTGTTGTTCAACTCATTTATAGTAAACTCTGTTCTTGTGTTTTCCAGCACACAGTTTTAGATACCTTCAATAAGTATATACAAGACACTGACACACCTGCAGAACTTAGACCTGTATTGAACAGATTATGTGTGTTATATGGCTTATGGAGCATGGAAAAACACCTAGCTACATTATACCAAGGTACAGTTCATATATTGTGTAGTAACTTAGACCTGTATTGAACAGATTATGTGTGTTATATGGCTTATGGAGCATGGAAAAACACCTAGCTACATTATACCAAGGTACAGTTCATATATTGTGTAGTAACTTAGACCTGTATTGAACAGATTATGTGTGTTATATGGCTTATGGAGCATGGAAAAACACCTAGCTACATTATACCAAGGTACAGTTCATATATTGTGTGGTAACTTAGACCTGTATTGAACAGATTATGTGTGCTGTATGGCTTATGGAGCATGGAAAAACACCTAGCTACATTATACCAAGGTACAGTTCATATATTGTGTAGTAACTTAGACCTGTATTGAACAGATTATGTGTGTTATATGGCTTATGGAGCATGGAAAAACACCTTGCTACATTATACCAAGGTACAGTTTATGTATTGTGTAGTAACTTAGCCCTGTATTGAACAGATTATGTGTGTTATATGGCTTATGGAGCATGGAAAAACACCTAGCTACATTATACCAAGGTACAGTTCATATATTGTGTAATAACTTAGACCTGTATTGAACAGATTATGTGTGCTATCAAGCGGTACAAACTTCGACCGTTAATTTGAATTTTTGACCTACCAGCTGCTTGAAAATCACGGATTGCGAGTCTCATACTGCACCGTTTTTCTTCAAACTTATACCATTAAAAGCAAAACAAAATTGCCTTTCTGTCGGGGCATTACTTTATTGTAAAGAGTCCCTCGTTCAAGCAGCGTTTTGGTCCCCAGCTGTTAGAAGGCCTTCTTACAGCTGGGGACCAAAATGCCGCTGGAAGTAGGGACTCTGATTAAGAGAATAATGTACCATCAGAAAGCGATTTTTGTGATGCTTTGAATGGAACAAGTTTGAAGAAAAACGGTGCAGTATGAGACTCGTAATCCTTGATTTTCAAACATCCGGTAGGTCAAAAATTCAAATTAACGGTCGAAGTTTGTACCGCGTGGTGCTATATGGCTTATGGAGCATGGAGAAACACCTAGCTACATTATACCAAGGTACAGTTCATATATTGTGTAGTAACTTCGACCTGTATTGAACAGATTATGTGTGCTGTATGGCTTATGGAGCATGGAAAAACACCTAGCTACATTATACCAAGGTACAGTTCATATATTGTGTAATAACTTAGACCTGTTTTGAACAGATTATGTGTGTTATATGGCTAATGGAGCATGGAAAAACACCTAGCTACATTATACCAAGGTACAGTTCATATATTGTGTAATAACTTAGACCTGTTTTGAACAGATTATGTGTGTTATATGGCTAATGGAGCATGGAAAAACACCTAGCTACATTATACCAAGGTACAGTTCATATATTGTGTCGTAACTTCGACCTGTATTGAACAGATTATGTGTGCTGTATGGCTTATGGAGCATGGAAAAACACCTAGCTACATTATACCAAGGTACAGTTCATATATTGTGTAATAACTTAGACCTGTTTTGAACAGATTATGTGTGTTATATGGCTAATGGAGATGGAAAAACACCTAGCTACATTATACCAAGGTACAGTTCATATATTGTGTAGTAACTTAGACCTGTATTGAACAGATTATGTGTGTTATATGGCTTATGGAGCATGGAGAAACACCTAGCTACATTATACCAAGGTACAGTTCATATATTGTGTAGTAACTTAGACCTGTATTGAACAGATTATGTGTGTTATATGGCTTATGGAGCATGGAAAAACACCTAGCTACATTATACCAAGGTACAGTTCATATATTGTGTAGTAACTTCGACCTGTATTGAACAGATTATGTGTGCTGTATGGCTTATGGAGCATGGAAAAACACCTAGCTACATTATACCAAGGTACAGTTCATATATTGTGTAGTAACTTAGACCTGTATTGAACAGATTATGTGTGTTATATGGCTTATGGAGCATGGAGAAACACCTAGCTACATTATACCAAGGTACAGTTCATATATTGTGTAGTAACTTAGACCTGTATTGAACAGATTATGTGTGTTATATGGCTTATGGAGCATGGAAAAACACCTAGCTACATTATACCAAGGTACAGTTTATATATTGTGTCGTAACTTCGACCTGTATTGAACAGATTATGTGTGTTATATGGCTTATGGAGCATGGAAAAACACCTAACTACATTATACCAAGGTACAGTTTATATATCTTGTAGTAACTTCGACCTGTATTGAACAGATTATGTGTGTTATATGGCTTATGGAGCATGGAAAAACACCTAGCTACATTATACCAAGGTACAGTTTATATATTGTGTAGTAACTTCGACCTGTATTGAACAGATTATGTGTGTTATATGGCTTATGGAGCATGGAAAAACACCTAGCTACATTATACCAAGGTACAGTTCATATATTGTGTAGTAACTTCGACCTGTATTGAACAGATTATGTGTGCTGTATGGCTTATGGAGCATGGAAAAACACCTAGCTACATTATACCAAGGTACAGTTCATATATTGTGTAGTAACTTAGACCTGTATTGAACAGATTATGTGTGTTATATGGCTTATGGAGCATGGAAAAACACCTAGCTACATTATACCAAGGTACAGTTCATATATTGTGTGGTAACTTTGACCTGTATTGGAACAGAAGCCTTATTCATAAAGCCAACGTAGGACTTACGTCAACGTATCGTATTGCAGAAACTAATTTTGGTATTCATAAAGTAAACGTAACTAAATTTTTGAAATTGGAAAAATTGACCTTGATTTTTACCTTTGACCTAGATAAAAATTTGATCTAATTTCCTGGGAACTACATCACATACCACAACTGACCTTGTAGATGGATTTTCTCTAAGCCTTCTAGTTACTGAGTAATCTTGGAGATAAGAATAATATGAATATTAAGAATTCAGGCAAAAACAATAGACTTCAGATTTTCAATCTGGAGTCTAATAATAAACCATGGTGCTCTCAGTATATACAGCCCACTTCCCACATTTCAGGAGGATATCTACAAGGTCCAGAACCAGCCAGGTTGATACGTGGAGCCATCTTGAGGCTGTGTACAGAACTGAAGAATGATGCAGTATCATTGGTGGATGTGATTGCTCCCCCTGATTTCATCCTGAACTCCCCCATTGGGAACTCAGATGGCCAAGTAAGCAATTCATTCAATTAATATCATTGTTTACTGATTCATTTTTTCTCTAACTTTTTCTACTCAATTTGATGAGATTAGGAAACTTTGTCCATAGGTTGGGATGTAAGTTTTTTTCTTCATGACAAGTTAAATAAATTCGTTTCTACTTTCATTCAATTTGCCACATTGAAAATGCATTACTAACTGTAACTATGATGAAATTGAAAATATCTGTCCTTGAAAGTGACAACAAGAAAGAAATCCTAGGTCTACATAGTCATATGCTCAGTGACTTTAAAATTGAATTAAAAACAATTTATCAGTATGATGTTAGGATATGGCTATTTAGCATGGGCATTGAATCAATCCGAAGATGGGTAAGGAAAACTAAATAGGGCTACATCAAGTGGCACTCCAAACAATCTGTTTTCTTTATTGTGATCTAATATTTTTAATTGCAGATCTACAAGAATTTATATGGTGCCATGATTCAGGGACCAGCTGCCCTAGAAAGACCTTCTTGGTGGGCAGAATTCTTGGATAAACCAAAGATTGGCTCCCTACGGCCAGAATCAAAACTTTAAACATTGAAAAAACTGACATACAAGAGGTAATTCTAGAAGTGACACCAAAGAGTTGACATATACAGGAGTTTTGAAATTCAAATACTGGAAGTGAATTGAAATAAAAGACAAACAGAAAACTTTTTTCTAAAAATGACTAGATTTATTGATGGCTCAATACATTGAATGGCCTGTAATCAGAATGATAAAAGTTTTACAATTACATATTGAAGACTTTAACCAAGAATGTTTGAGGACAATTTTGAAAAGGAACTGCAATAACATCAAATCAAGGCTTTGTATAAAAAACCTTGTACCTAAATGTACGTACCCACGTTAGTAATGATACAGACTTTTAAGTGTTAAATAGTTTTAAATACGGGGATTTGCTAAATTGAATTCCGTTTAACGTTTCATTTTATTTATTCAAAGCATGGGTAACGATTAGTCTCAGGGATTGTAAATTCAACCCATCACAGACAGTGTTACTGTAGTCGTGGATGACGATTCGTTATATGGTTCTAAATTGAATAATGGGGAGTACATGTAGTACACCAATAAAGACAAAGGTGCTCGAAATGTTACAATACGTACATGTATAGTGACAGCTTTTAGACGATTTCCTTGAATTACCCAGCAAATAAAAAAAAAAGATTTTAGTGTAGATAAATTGTGTCTACGCATTTCCAGATGATCAATTTGAGATTGATTTAAAATGATCAGGAATGTCTCTTTGTAGACTTGATGCTGAAAATCTATTTCGCTTTAAATTTTAAAAATGATTGATCAGCTATTTTTTACACCTGAACCCATCCTAATAGAAAGGTGAAACTGTTTTCTTGAGACATGTATATTGAATCTCTCCCTTGAATTTGCTTTATGCCTGGGTCACATTTGCTCTGATTCATCGGCCGGCGCCCGGCCGATTGAGTATCCTGTTCACGTATTCAGTTTTGAACAGAATACTCCCGGAGAATACTCAATCAGCCAGGCGCAGGCCGATGATCATCGGTGCAAATGTGACCCAGGCATTAAGTCAGCTATTTTTAATTTTACTTATTATCCCATCGAACGAAGTTCGGAGGGATATAGGGAACGCCTCCGTCCGTCCGTCCGTCCGTCCGTCCA